ATTGCTTCCCCCTCCACCCCATCTGCTACGGCTCTTGTGCAGCTATTTATGGTTATGGCTTTGTTACATATATACACATAGACCATTGTTAACCCCGTCCTTTTCTGTGGCTCCCAAACAGTATTCATTTGAGCATCAGAAAGTTTGCAAGCTAAGTAGTTATCAGATGCCAATATTTATGATTTTTCTAAAGGTCATGAGTATATTGCCAAGAGAAGGTCTAGAAAGTACTTGTCTTTTGAAGTTAATCTGAGTCTTCCTTAATTTACAGGAGAAGGATATGTAAAACAGATTCTAAGCTTAGGTAACCAAATAAACAGCTTTTTCAATCTAAATGAATATCCAGCAGGATGACACATTTTTGTTTTTCTATACTGTCTTGCACATTGTCATCTTAACCTGTTTCCCATCCACTAAATGCTGTTTGCTCCCTGGATCACTGTGTATAAACCCAGTTGACCCCATCTTCATTTTTATAACCACTGAAGAGCATTTGTAAAATGAGAGTAAATGTAGTAGAGAATGTTTGTTAGATTTATTTATTACTGTTATATTGCATGAGACTTTAGAGTTTGATTCAGTTCAGAGTGAAGTTCTATTTTCATGAAAGTACAAAGATCATGTAAAAGGCTAAATGCTGCCTCTTCAAAAAGGTCACAAGAAAGGCTCTGTGTGCTTGATGAGTATAAATGCAGTGTTTTTAAATTTACCCTGAGACTGTTTTTTGTGTTGAGAGAAAATTTGGAGGAAGATGTGACATTAGAATTGGTCCTTTAAACATAGACTTTAGATAGACCGAAAGGAACAACATTTTAGTTGAGAACAAAGCCATTGAAATGGTAATAAGCAAGTTGGGGGAATCTAGAGTTAGACTGGTTGGGCTAGTAAAGTATAGTGAAGTGCCAGGATTTTAGGAATGTGTTGAGAGATAAGATTGGAAAAGTAGTACAACTGGTTTACTGAGGAATCTCAAATCTGGGGTATAAACATGAAGCGGTTTTATTGTTTCCTGACTGGGTCTCCAGTCATACAGTGGAAAACACTCCTAACCCCTGTACTTTGCTTGAAAATGCTGTCCTTTGAGAATGTCTTGGTCTGATGTAACTTTGCTGCCACTTTTGGTTACTACAAGAAACTTACTCCAGAAATAAGGCAGGTTCCAGCCATTAAAAAAAAAAAATGAAGTCACCCAGTCTCTGTTTTCTCTGAAGAAAAGTTAAAACTGTTACCCACTGCTTGGTTTAAAGAGGTGTAATTTGACTCAAAGACGTGCTCCCTCTTCTTTCTTTTCTTTTCTTTTTTTTTTTTTTTTTTTAGCTGGAGTCTCACTCTGTCGCCCAGGCTAGCGTACAATGGCGCAATCTTGGCTCACTGCAGCCTCCACCTCCTGGGTACGAGCAATTCTCCCTCCTCAGCCTCCTGAGTAGCTGGGATTATAGACACTCGCCATCATGCCCAGCAAATTTTTCTGTTTTAAGTAGAGATGGGGTTTCACCATGTTGGCCAGGCTGATCTTGAACTCCTGATCTCAGGTGCTCTACTCATCTGGGCCTTCCAAAGTGCTGGGATTACAGGCGGGAGCCACTGTACCCAGTCTCTCTCTTTTTTCTCTAGCCCCTGAGGAGTTAGAGGAAGAAGACCAGCCTGTGGAGGCTGTGCTCTCATTTTACCTAAACCTCTAAAAAGGGAAGAGGTGGTCCTGGCCTCACTCTGGTTCTTCTGGCTGGATTTAATGATGGTCTCTGAGAGGTAGTATTGTAGCAGGAGTGGCTGCGAGAAACAGAGCTCCTGAACACTGAATGGGGAAGGAAAGGGTTTGTTACTATTATTATTATTATTAATATTACGGCAGGGAGTGGAGGATGGTTTCAAATTACCCAGCTCGTCTAACAAAGGAAGGCTCTGCCTTTATACACATGGAAGAATCTTGGGTTTACAGCCTTAGAAATTACATATGAAGATTTGCAGCTTTAGGACTCACATGTGAAAAGGTTTTGGGTTTACAGCTTTAGAAATCACATGTGAAACGGTGTCAGGTTTACAGTGTTAGCAATAACATATGAAAGGGTTTGGGGTTTGATCTTGTTTTAAAAACAGTGTCTTCCAGAGGGTTTCCCCAAGACCAAGCCTGCCACTTACAGGAAGGTGAATCAGAAGGTGCCAGTTGGTCAGCCTTTTCTTCTATTGAAATGCAGGGTGGCAGTCAAAGGGGAAGTTGATCCCAGATGCCTGGGTCTCCTTCCTCAGTATGTGTGGATTTTGTAGTGGTGGTGTTATGGCTCCCTGGCTCCTTTTGCCACGGAAGAGGGCAGTTCCCTTTTGGCAGAGCCAGTGTAGTACACACTTCAACCTCTTCTCTGTTTGGGTGACCTATTGCCTGCCTTGGTGCTGTCCTACCCCTGGGCTGTCCAAAGTAACCTGTCCTTCCTTCAGCCTCCTTCCCCCATCACTTGGAGTTGCAAGAAGGCGAGCAGGAGGGAGGAATGGAGTGAGATTGAGAAACCAACAGTTCAAGTGTTTCCGGTATGAAGTGAAATGATTGGAGGCCTGGGTTTGGTTGCAAGTAGGGGACAGTGGCTGTAGAAATGCAGGAAACATGAAATTCTCAAAAGAATTTAAGGACAAAAGAGAGAGGAAGAAGTAGATGACCAAGAAAAATGATTATTGACAGAATAGAAAAGATTAACGAGTTACTCAATTATAGGAGTTTTAATTACAATTTTGAATTTGGCCATTTTGAGTTCGAGGTTATAGTAGAAAATCCAGTGGAAATGCCTATATTTTGTTGGAGATTTTAATACAAAGACACGGTGAGGAAGAGGAGACACAGATAATTTTGATATCTGTAACTCAAGATACAGAACTGAAAATAACTATGTAGGCATCACGTTGCTTCAGGTTATCTAACTGGATGAATTCTAAGAAGGAAAAAGACTTGGGAACTGAATCCTGGGGAATGTAACAGCTGGAAGAGTGGCCGGTAATGCAGTGTTTGCTTAGGGTTTTTCTGTTGACAAATCATGGCACACAGACAGGAATCATAAAGTTGTTGATAAAATTTCTCCCCACTTGTTTTATGCTGGGGTGTCACAACACCTTTAAAGTCTTCCCTTTAACTAGATTCTTTACCTGCTACCCGTTACATTTTGGTCAGCTCTGGGTTTCACTTTCTGTTAGTATAGCCTTGACTAGTTACAGTGTTTAAAACCACTTCATTTGTTTTTAGATTGATTTCTAGATTGATAAGATTTTAAATTCAACAGCAAAACATTCACCAGTTATGTCTTAAAGTGAGTTACTTTGTGTGAGGTAATGTAGGTGGCAGTGCCTCTGTTTGAGAATTATTTTACTTTGTCTTAGATTTTGGAATACAGAGTACTTACAAGGTCTTTTATTTACTTAGTTGTATTGTCTAAACCAAGCCTTTGATACTAATGTGGGCTTTGGCTTGATTATAAAATATCTGCAGCAAGATAATGATAATTTGGTTGTTTGGAAATATATTTATACAGAGGTAGAGTATTGAGGCCAGTGGCTATATCAGTTGATGCCCCAGAGGGCAGTCTAAACTAAAAATTAGCATATTTAACAAATAAGCTGGTCTACTTTTCCTTTCTTACACTTTATTCCCCCCATTCTCGACATTCCTAGAATAATGTTTCTCAAATACTGGTGTTACCATTTCTGTGCTTACAGAGTTTAATTGAACAAATATTTGAGAACACAATATGTACTAGAAACTCTGCATTATAATTAAGTATACAAGTCTACTGTGATTTATTATGATTTGTTCTTAACAAAATTCACTACTGCTTAGTATTCTGAGGATTCAGCCTGACCAGTCTTCTCTCTTTTCATTATCCTCTGATAACCACCTTTATCCCAGCCTGATGTAAACATGCATGTTTTTGTTATTTAAAAATTTAGTATATATCTGCATTAGTTCCATTAGTTTATATCTCTAGTATAAACTAGAGATGTTTTCCATTAGTATATCTCTTATCTGGAATTATTTCTCTGTTACTTCTGTCAAAACTACGATATGCCCACTTTTTAATCTAACCTCACATGGTTTCAGTAACTCATTCCCTTGTACATGCTTTGTTGATACCTGACAAGTCAACAATTTTTTTTAACAAGATTGCTGAAATATTTTATAATTATATGTTTTAGGATAATTGAAGATGACTAATTTTCATAAAATGGCTAGAATAGTAACCTCCATAAACAGTATAAAATATATCTAACTTTGTCAAGTTAGTTTTTCGAAGTTGCTTTTATTGACCTAGGCAGTGATAGGCTCCATTTTATTTGCACTGAACATTGTTTCTTTCCTGATGAGAATGTTTGAAATGGTACTTTCATGATACTTCCTTGATTCCTGCCTGTATGAAAAACTAATTTCTACCAGGGATCCTTTATACCCTGACCTCATTATAACTCAAATCTAGATCTTCTGGGCTATAGCTAGTTGTGTCGTTATTTAGCTTTCCTTCTTAGTACATTTTTATCTTCATTAATGTGCACTGATTCGTTATCTTGGTTTGTGATTTCTCTTCTAGTGCTTTTATTGGTGTCTTATTTCTCCAGTATTTTCTTACAGATTTATGAGGTAATCTTTTTTCTTTACAGAGCTGAAGAAATCTAAGCAGTCTTTAGCACTAATCTTCTAGTTGTTAGTGTTATTCCTTACCTAACATCTTATGGGGAGGATTGGACAATGCCAGACTACAACTGAAATTAATTAATGAAGTTGTTTGACTGAAATGAAGAAGGAAAGACAGTGAAACTTTGCAGTGGCCCAGCTGCTTGTAGCTAGCCAACTTGGGTTAGCTGTCCTAGTCCTTTTTCTTTTTTTCTCAAGGAAAGGCTTTTAAAGGAATTATTAGTGATAAAATTTGTGGTGTTAGTTATTCCATATCACAAAGTATGTGCAATATGGGGGTTGTATGGGGTTTTGGTTTAAAGTGGTTTTTAATTTCAGTGTTTCAATTTCTTAGATGTAAACGAAGATCAGGAGCAGATTTGAAGTACAAAGTGAATTGGTGCCAGTCAGCATGTCAGAGACAGACCTCATAGCCTCTACTTCCTCTGATAAGAATGTTGGGAAAACATCTGAATTAAAGGAAGACTCATGCAATTTGTTTTTTGGCGATGAAAGGAGCAAATTAGAAAATGAGTGTAAACTGTTGTCACTAAACTTTGATAAAACTTTATGTCAACCTAATGAGCATAATAATCCAATTGAAGCCCAGGAAATTTATATTCCAGATCATGGTGGAGGTGAGGATTCTTATGCCAAAACAGACATAGGCCCAGAAAATTCTGAACAAATATCCAATTTTCCTAGAGGAAATTTTGCTAAACAAGTTTCAAAAACAAATGAAACAGAACAGAAAGTAACACAAATATTGGTGGAATTAAGGTCATCTACATTTCCAGAATCAGCTAATGAAAAGACTTATTCAGAAAGCCCATATGATACAGACTGCACCAAGAAACTTATTTCAACAATAAAGAGAGTTTCAACATCAGAGGATTTGCTGGAAGAAATAGAATCTGAGCTCTTATCTACAGCAGAGTTTGCAGAACATCGAGTACCAAATGGAATGAATAAGGGAGAACATGCATTAGTTCTGTTTGAAAAGTGTGTGCAAGACAAATACTTGCAGCAGGAACATACCATAAAAAAGTAAGTTTTTTATACGTTTAGTTTATTTTTTTCCCCCATAGGGAATTAAGATAGAATTCTCTAAAGGAAAATATCATCTTGTCCATTTTTATTTCCACATTAGAATCATGCACATAGTAGTTGAACAATAAATGTGTAGTTACTGAATATTTAAGCAAATGTCAAGTTTTTCTAATATCTAAGTTTAAAGTAATATGTTAAATAGTGTAAATGTATTAATGTGCTAGAAATTTTTATAGGCAACTCAGATTTTTCACTTTTGAAAGAATGTGTATAATATTGTCAAAGTATAATACTGTCAAAACTAAGGAAATGACAAGTCATAAAATTCCAACACTTTCTTAAAATCTTCATTCTAAATTCATTGGCTTAAAAAAATTAAAATTTAGAGAACAGAAGAATTGATTATTGTTCAGTAAATAAGAATATATTTTAGACTTCTTTTGGATTTGTGAAGTTAGTTCTGTTTTCATGATAGTTTAAAAATTACCATCTTTAACTGTTTTTAAGTGTACATTTCAGTAGTGTTGTTATATATTCACACTGTTGGACAACTAATCTGTAGAACTTTTTCACTTTGCAAATCTGAAAAACTGTATCTGTTAAACAACAGCACTATTTCCACTTGCGCTCAGCCTCTGGCAACCACCATTCTACTTTCTAAATTTGACTATGATACCTCATGGAGGTGAAATCATATACTTGTCATTTTACAACTGGCCTACTTCACTTAGCCTAATGTCCTCATTTACCCATGTTGTAACATGTTGGAATTTCATTTTAAGGCTGAGTAATATTCCTTTGTATGTATATACCACATTTTGTTTATCCATTAATGGACATCTGGGTTCCTTCTGTTTTTTGGCTATTAATAATGCTGCTGTGAACTTGAGTTTGCAAGTATCTCTTCAAGATTCCAAAGCCCTTCTTAATAAAACCCCAAAACAAATACCTGCTATTGCTACTCATATCCTTACTTAAATACTATATTATGTGAATAAACGATATGCTTTTGTACTTGAACCATCAGTGCTGCTATTCTTGCATTTTATAGGGTAGCTTTCTCGTTTTCCTGTAGCCTCTACCTGTTCTTTTAGGCCTTCCTCTTGAGATTCTCTCTGATGCTTCTTCCCACTTTTCTTAGATCTAGACTCTTATCACTTTCATACCTCCCTTATAAATTATAAGATGTTATACATTTAATAGTAATAGCAGCAAACATGTATATGTTGATAATTATGTGCCTGGTATATTTCATATATTAGTTCATGGATTCTTCACAAGAATTCTCTGTGGCATGTACTGTTATCATCCCCATTGTACAGATGAGTTACCTGAAACATAGAGAAAGTAACTTGTTCAAGGTCACATGCTAACAAATTCAGAGTTAAAATCTCAGCTTTGTTAGTAGGGCTTCAGGAGCTTTTTAAAATATGGTTATTCGAAATGAACCAGTTACAAGTTGTTAAATTTATCTAAAAATATTAGGAATATAGTAGAAAATGGATTTCTCTTTTTTACTTCATCCTGTGAATATGATTATTCTTATAAGTGGAATACTCCTAATTCTGATGTCTGGTGTTGGAAGATACCCATTGACATTTGCCCGCTCTGTTATGTTGGCCAAGTCAACCTCTTTGACTGAAAGATTTTTCCCCTAGGGTGACAATACTTACCTGATGGGACTGTTTGTGGACCTTAGGGCATTATACAAATGTCAGATGTTATTTTAAGCTGAGGTTAATCTTTGGTTATATACATAATGTTTTCAGTTCCAAACAAAATGCTTTGTGATTCAGGTCAGCTCTAGAACAACTAGATTTTTTTTTTTCCTTCATTTAATTTTCTATGAAGAAAATTACCTTTAACTTTCTTTGAAATTTTCATGAATGCATCTATTTCCAAATATCTTTGTTTATACTTCTCTTCCCCCATTTTCCATTTTCGCCAGCTTTATTGAAATATATTTATTTACACTGTAAAATGATTACCACAATCAAGTTAGTTAACACATCTGTCACTTCGTTACGTGTGTGTGCATGCATTGAGAACATTTAAGATCTACTGTCTTAAACAAATTTTAAGTGTACAATAATGGTATTATTAACTGTTAGCACCATGAAGTATTAGGTCCCCAGAACTTACTCATCTTATAACTGAAAAGTTTGTAGGCTTTGCAGCATCTCTGCTTTTCCCTCATCCCCTGTGCCCTGGCAAGCACCATTCTTCTCTTTATTTCTGTTCCTTGATTTTTTGAATACATCAATATTGTCTAAGGTTACAACCAAAAATACTTTTTTTTTTTGAGGTGAAGTCGCACTCTGTCCCACAGGCTGGAGTGCAGTGGCACGACCTCAGCTCGCTGCAACCTCCGTCTCCCGGGTTCAAGCAATTCCCCACCTCAGGCTTCCAAGTAGCTAAGACTATAGGCGCCTGCCACTATAGCTGGCTAATTTTTGTATTTTTAGTAGAGACGGGGATTTCACCATGTTGGCCAGGCTGGTCTTGAACTTCTGACCTCAAGTGACTTTCCTGCCTTGGCCTCTCAAAGTTCTGGAATTACTCTAGGCAGGAGCCACCATGCCTGGCCCAAAATTCTTTTTTGTTTTTTAAAATGAGATAGGGTTTTGGTCTCTCACCCAGGCTGGAGTATAGTGGGTGTGATCTCAGCTCACTGCAGCCTGAAAATGGGGGAAGAGAAGTATAAACACTCGACCTCCTGGGCTTAAGTGGTCCTCCCACCTCAGCGTCCCAAGTAGCTGGGATTGCCGGTGTACACCACTATGCTCAGCTAATACTTTTGCGTTTTTTTGTTGTAGAGATAGGGTTTCACGATACTGCCCAGGCTGGTCTGGAACTCCTGAGCTCAGGTGATTCACCTACCATGGCCCCCAAAATGCCAGGATTATAGACATGCACCACAGTGCCCAGCCCAAAATTCTTAAGAGCAGTTGTTTGTATACAGAATATGTATTTGGCACATAAGTAACAATTTGAGTGCTTACTGCTCTTCACTTTCCCCTCCCATAGTTATTCACTTGTGAACTATAGCCAGGACTCTTAATGTCTCAAGTAGTTATCTGTAGCACACTGAGTATGCCTCATGTAAATAATCTAAACTACTGTGCCATAAAAGGCTTGAATAAACATGCATGCATTTGCCTTTCTCCTAAACATTTGTATGATTGTTTACTCACTGTATTCCTAGGCTCAACTGTCACCTCACAGAGGCCTATCTGGACTACTTATCTAAAATTGTAACTCAAGTCACTCTCTTTTCGTTGTCCTTTATTTTTCTTAATAGGACTTAATCACCAGCTGACATTTTATTGCATATCTAGCGTTTATTTTTATTTCATCTTCTAGATTGTAAGTTCCATGGGGGCAGGGACTATTTGCTGACGTATTTCCCACATAAAATAGTAAGGTGCCAAGTAAGCACTAGTTGAGTTAATGAGTGATCTTCAGAATAGAAAGTGGAAAGGCCTGGGGCTTTGGAATTATACCTGGATCCAAAACAAAATTCAACTGCTTACTAGCTATGTGAGCTGGAACAAGTCTTAGGCTTCAGTTTTGTTTTGCTATTAATATTTTTTTTTACAGACAGACAGGGTCTTATTCTGTCACTCAGGCAGGAGCTCAGTGTAGCTCACTGCAGCCTGGAACTCCTGGGATCAAGAGCTTCTCCTGGGACTACAGGTGTGAGCCATCATGCCTAACTAGTTTTTTTTTTTTTTTTTTTTTAATTTGTAAAACAGAAGTGATGGCAATAATTTCAGACTTATTTTGAATATTAAATGAAATCGTATACTTTTTTAAATTATAAAAAGCTAAACTTAGCCAGTGACAAATGTGCAGTAAGTGTTAGGTTACAGCTATTGCTATTAGGCCTAGAGTACTTGCTGTTAACTTTCTTAGATATCTTACATTTCTGAGTACTTTGCAGGTAATTTTTGAGATTTTATTTTTATTTTTCTAGGGGAATTAAAGATGAAATTACTGCTTACATTTTATTTTGCTGTTTTATATTGACTGTACATCATAACTATTAGAATATCATTTAAATATTTTTAAAATCTGAAGCAAGACTTTTGAGCTTTAGCACTATTGCCATTTGGGGCTGGATTCTTTGTTATTGGAGTTGTCTTGTGCGTTGTGGATGTTTAGCAGCATCCCTGGCCTCCATCCACTAGATGCCAGTAGCAGCCCCTACCCCTGTTACGACAACCAAAAATGTCTTCGGAAAAACTCCTGGAGGGGCAATGTTGCCCATGGTTGAGAACCACTTATTTGAACCACATATGAGCATAATGCTGACAGGATTGGTGCATAATTGAGATACGCAAAAGTATAAATTTGGAAGGGTGTGCTTTTTATTTATCTGATTATATTTTGATTTGAAATGTTCATATTTCTAGGGAAAAGCTAATAGCCTAATTGGCTGGAGAATCTTTTACAAAGTATTATGTTTCACTATAAAAGAATTAGGAATGTTAATTCATTAACATTATAATTAATATTTATAGATATCTGTACCCTAATCCATAAACAGATTATATTCCACATATCATTTTATCTCCATTTCAAATTATGTTTTACATATACTGCCCTTTTTATATTTAGGTTAATTAAAGAAAATAAGAAGCATCAGGAGCTCATCGTAGACATTGGTTCAGAAAAAGACAATTTAAGAGAAGAACTAAAAAAAAGAACAGAAACAGAGAAGCAGCATATGAACACAATTAAACAGGTAAAAAGAGAAAAATCTTCAAAGACCATACTTCAATTAATAAAATAAATACCTTCCTGGCAGCTGTTTGTGGCGGCTCACGCCTATAATCCTAGCACTTTGGGAGGCCAAAGTGGGCAGAATACTTGAGCCCAGGAATTTGAGACCAGCCTGGGCAACCTGGCGAACCCTGTCTGTACAAAAGAAATATAAAATTAGCTGCATATGGTGGCATGTACCTGTAAACTCAGCTACTCAGGAAGCTGAGGTGGGTGGATCACTTGAGCCCGGGAGATTGAGGCTGCAATGAGCTGAGATCATGCCACTCTACTCCAGCCTGGGTGACAAGAGTGAGACATTGTGTCAAAAAAGAAAAAAAAAATTTCTGAAAAATTGTGTATAAGTTGAAGTTCTATAAGGTAAATCATATTTTAAATACAGACAATTTAAAATTGTGTGACATTTAAAGCATTCTCTTTTACAAAGTAGGACTCATAGCCTGATTTATTTCCTTTTATGTAAGTTTGTTCTTATATGTTCTACATATAGTAGAACATACTCTATTATGTTCAAAATAAGCAGAAAGATTTGACAGTCAACTAGGCTGTTTTTGCCAGCAGGGAAGAAGCAATAGATACATACAAGTTTATGTCTGGCATTAGAATGCTTTTAAGTTTATATTTTAGTATGGTTTCATTCTTAGTATTTTTTTAAACTATATTGTGAAGACTGGCTGTCATACTTTAGATTGTATCTGGCTAACTGGCTTTCTTAGCCTGTCCTTTTCTTTCTTTTTTAAATTTTTTATTTTTATTTTAGACAGAGTTTTGCTCTTGTCACCCAGGGTGGAGTGCGGTGGCACCATCTTGGCTCACTGCAACCTTTGCCTGCCAGGTTCAAGTGATTTTCTGCCTCAGCCTTCTGAGTAGCTGGGATTACAGGTGCAAGCAACCACACCCAGCCAATTTTTGTATTTTTAGTACAGATGGAGTTTCACCATGTTGGCCAGGCTGGTCTTGAACTCCTGACCTCGGGTGATCCACCTGTCTTGGCCTAGCCTCCCAGAGTGCTGGGATTACAGGCATGGGCCATGGTACCCAGGCTCTTTCTATTTTTTAAATGAACTTATTTAATGCATGAATCAACAAAGTGAATATTCAAACTAATAGCAGAGCTGAGCTGTTCTTTATTTTTGAGGTGCTTTTTCTTCTATGGATAGGATTAGAAGCATTCTAGCCTTAAAAGTATTTATTTTGTCTCATCTTTCACAGAAAGTTATATAACAAAAGTAGCAGTAAACAATTAGTAAAACAAGCTTTCACTTGATGCATAATTGGAAGGTGACTGAATTGGTAAAATTGTGCGTATTTAATCCTGATTTTTATGTGCTCTAGGGTCCCCACATTGTAAACAAACTTAGAATAGTAAAGTGTGAGGGAGCCTCAATAACAGGCTGAATCCATATTTTGGTAGTCAGGTCACTCAGTGACCAGAAACTTCAAACTGAACAGAGAGAATGGAACCAGAGCTCTTCCTTTTCACGAGCTTATTAGCGGTTTTTTTTTTTTTAAAAGAGAAAATTGGATTCACCTTTCTTTTGCTAGCATGTCAAGAACTTTATACTTGTAAATAGAAAATTAGTATAGCAGGCTTTTCTTTCTTAATTTTATCTCTAGATCTGCACTGTTTAATATGGCATCCACCAGCTGCATATGGCAATTGAGCACTTCAAAGGTAGCTAGCCTAAATTGAGAGGTGCTGTAAGTGTAAAATACACACGCAACTTAGAAGAGTTAGTATGAAAAAAGTAAAACAGCTCATTTTTTTCATGTGGAGTGATGATATTAGAATGATAATATTTTTGATATATTGGGTTTAGTAAACTGTTTCATCTGTTTCTTTTTAATGTTTATTTTATTTTATTTTTGAGATGGGATTTCGCTCTTGTGGCCCAGGCTGGAGTGCAATGGCACAATCTCAGCTCACTGCAACCTCGACCTCCCAGTTTCAAGTGATTCTCCTGCTTCAGCCTCCCAAATAGCTGGGATTTCAAGCACCCACCACCATACCCAGCTAATTTTTGTATTTTTAGTAGAAACAAGGTTTCATTATGTTAGCCAGGCTGTCCTCAAACTCCTGACCTCAGGTGATCCGCCTGCCTCAGCCTCAAAAAGTGCTGGGGTTACAGGCGTGAGCCACCATGCCCAACCTCTTTTTACTTTTTGAAGTATGATTACTAGGAAGTTAAAATTCCACATGTGACTTGTATTTCTATTGCCCAGTGTTGCTCTAGATAATTTTGTAATAAGGAAAATTAGTATATATGTACTAGAAAGTAAGATTTAGGTATTTTTAAACTGGTTTGTTGAGATACAATTAACTCATTTTAAGTGTACAATTCAGTGGCTTTTACTTGTGCAACCTTCACCACAATTTTAGAACATGTTATCACCCCAAAAAGAAATGCTGCACACATTAGTAGTCACTCCTTATTTCTCTCCAACAGTACCCCCTCAAACCTGCTCTAAGTAATCTACTTTCTGTCTCTACATATTTGCCTATTCTGGACATTTCATATAAATGGAATTATATAATAAGTAGCCGTTTGTATCTAGCTTCTTTCATTTAACATAGTGTTTTTAAGATTTCAGTCAAGTTGTAGCATGTATCAGTATTTCATTCTTTTTATGATTGAATAGTAGTCCATTATATAGATATTTAATGTTTTGTTTATTCCTTCATCAGTTGATGGATGTTTGGGTTTTTTCTTCCATTTGAGTATTATTAGTAATGCCTCTGTGAACATTCACATACTAGTTTTTATGTGTACATATGCTTTCATTTCTCTTGAGTATATACCTAGGAATTAACAGAATGAGTTGGAAAGTGTTCCTTTTTGTGGGAAGAACAAGAATTTGTGAATTGGTATTAATTTTTCTATAATTGTTTCAAAGAATTTTACCTGTAGCCATCTGGGCCTGAATTTTTCTTTGTGGGTAGAGGTTTTTGTTGCTGTTTTTTTTTATTTTACTAATTCAGCCTCTACTTACAGGTCTATTCACATCTTCTATTTTTTCTTGAGACATTTTGATAGTTTGTGTCTTCCTAAGAATTGTTCATTTCATCTCTAAGTTAAATTGTTCATAGTATTCATTTATAATTTTTTATTTCTATAAGGTCTGTAGTAACGTCCCTCTTTCATTTCTAGTAATTTCAGTCACCTTTCTTTTTTCCTCAGCTAAAGGTTTGTCAGTTTTCTTCATCTTGTCAGAGAACCAATTTTTTGTTTTGTTGATTGTCTCTGGTTTTCTTTTCTTTCTTTCTTTTTTTTTGAGACTAGATTTGACTCTTTCACCCAGGCTGGAGTGCAGTGGCATGATCTCAGCTCACTGCAATCTCTGCCTACCAGGCAAATGATCCTCCCACCTCAGCCTCCCACTACAGGCATGCAGCACCACATCCAGCTAATTTTTGTATTTTTATGTGGAGACAGGGATTCACTATGTTACTAAGGCTGGTCTCACACTCCTGAGCTCAAGTGACCCACCTGCCTCAGCCTCCCAAAATGCTAGGATTATAAGCATGAGCCACCACACCCAGCCTTATCTCTGTTTTTCTATTCTTTATTTCATCGATTTCCATTCGATTTATTATTTTCTTCCTCCTCTTGGTGTTCAATTTAGTTTGCTCTTTTTCCAATGGCTTAAGATGGAATTTTAGTTTATTGATTTGATACCCTTTTATCTTTTTGTTTTTCAGACACAGTTTCACTGTTGTTGCCCAAGCTGGAGTGCAGTGGCGTAATCTCGGCTCACTGCAACCTCCACCTCCTGGGTTCAAGCAATTCTCCTGCCTCAGCCTCTGAAATAGCTGGGATAACAGGCACCCACCACCACACTCAGCTAATTTTGGTATTTTTGGTAGAGATGGGTTTCCCCATGTTGGCCAGGCCGGTCTCGAACTCCTGACCTCAGGTGATCTGCCCGCCTCAGCCTCCCAAAGTGCTGGGATTACAGGTGTGAGCCACTGTGCCCGGCCCCCTTTCTTTTTTAATATAGGTATTTGAAGTTACAAACTTTCCTCTAAGCATTCCTTTAGATGTATCCCCTAAGTTGTGGTATATTATGTTTTCATTTTCATTAATCACCTAGTACTTCCTAATTTCCCTTGCAGTTTCTTCTGTGTTTATTTAGGAGTATGTGGTTTAATTTTTACAAATTTGTGCATTTCCCAAATTTCTTTCTGTTTCTGAGGTCTCATTTCATTTTATTATAGTTGGAGAACATACTTAATATAATTTTAATCTTTTAAATTTATGAAAGTTAGTTTGTAACCTAGCATATGCTCTATCATGGAGAATATTCCATGTGTACCTGATGAAAACGTATATTCTGCCGTTCCTGGGTGGATTATTGTATAGATGTATTAGATTCCACTGTTTCTTGCTGTTTAAGTCTCCTATTTCTCTATTAATCATCTGCCTAATTCTATTCATTATTGAAAGTAGCATAGTGACATCTCTAACTGTTGTTGAGTTGTCTATTTCCTCTTTTATTTCTGTTAGTTTTCGCCTCATGTATTTTGATGTTACATTGTTAGATGTATATACATTTATCTGTTGGATCTTTCTGATGGCTTGATCTTTTTTATTTTTATGAGATATTCTTTATCTCTGGTAACATTCTTTATTTTAGTCTGTTTTTTTATGTAGGTATAACCACCCTTCCTTGTGATTGCTGTTTGCATGATATGCTTTTTCCCACTCTTTTCAATTTATTTGCATTTTGAAACTTTATAAAGTACCTTCTACAGAAAACGTATAGTTGAATATTGTTTTTTAAAATTTAGTCTGTTCATTTCTGCCTTTTGGTATGATTTTTTTTTATTTTTTTGAAATGGAGTCTTGCCCAGCCACCCAGGCTAGAGTACAATGGCATGTTCTTGGCTTACTGCAACCTCCGCCTCTCAGGTTCAAGAGATTCTCCTGCCTCAGCCTCCTGAGTAGCTGGGATTACAGGCACATACCACCACATCCGGCTAATTTTTTTGTATTTGTAGTAGAGACAGGTTTCACCATGTTGGCCAGGCTAGTCTTGAACTCCTGACCTAAGTGACCCACATGCCTTGGCCTCCCAAAGTGCTGGGATTACAGGCGTGAGCCACCACCCCCAGCCTGGTATGATTATTAAATCCACTTTCATTTAATGTTATTATTTTATGTCTCCATATTTTTCATTTTCAATGTGTCATGTCTTTTTTTGTTCCCCTATTCCTCCTTCACTGCCTTCTTTTGCATTAAGTGAATATTGTCTAATATAACATTTAAATTTCTTTCATGATATTTTCACTATACAGTACAGTAGTTCCCCCTTATCTGAGGGGAATTTATTCCAAGATCCCAAGTAGATGCCTGAAATTGCCGATAGTACTGAACCTGATTGCCATTAATGAAAACATGTTTCTGTTTATGTCTGTTCCTGACAAATTAATGCCTTTTTCATCTTCTTTTTTTACACTTGATCTTAGCCAAAAAGCTGAGAAGCGATCACTTTTTTTTTTTTTTTTAAGAGAGACAGTGTCTCGCAACCAGGACGGAGTACCATGGCGGGATCATAGCTAACTGTAGCCTCAAACTCCTGGGCTCTAGCAATCTTCTTGCCTCAGTCTCCTGAGTAGATGGAACTACAGGCATGCATCACCATGCCCAGCTATTTTTTTTAATTTTTTGTAGAGATCGGGTCTTGCTGTGTTGACCATGCTGGTCTTGAACTCCTGACCTAGGCACTTCTCCCTTAGCTTTCCAAAGCTCTGGGGTTACAGGCATGAGCCACTCTACCTGGCCTTTTTCATCTTAACAAAGCACGTATTCACTGTGGCCATAACTTTTGAAGTTTGAGGTATAACAGCAGAACTAGCATGAATTTCTTTTTTCTTTTTCACAGTTTCATGGATAGAAGATTGATTCTTACTGTAGATCTTAGCAACCTCAGCATATGATTTTTCTTTCCTTATTAAGTTACCTTTTCACTTAAAAGAAGCACTTTACAGCCTCTCTTTGGCACATGTGAATTGCTAACATCACTATTCTTGTACTCTGGTGCCACTAGTAAGTAAACTTATTACGGGCTAAAGGTTGCTGCACACAAGCACAGTTGTCCTGCTATAGTCAATCTTGTAACTGAGATGGCTACTAAGTGACTAACTGGCAGGTAGTATGTACATTGCGGACATGCTGGACAAAGGGATGATTCACAGTCTGAGCGAGACATAGTGAGACAGGACAAGATTTCATCACAATACTAGAATAGCATGCAGTTAAAAACTTATGAACTGTTTATTTCTGGAAGTTTTTATTTAATATTTTTGGACTGTGGTTGACCGAAGGTTGCTGAATCCATAGAAAGTGAAGCTACAGATAAGGTGGGACTACTGTATCCCTCTGTGTTATTCCTTAGTGGATATTCTGGGGGTTGCCAGATACCTTAACCAAATCTTCAGGTTTTTACTAAATGCCAGTGAGATATAGAAACATTGCTAAAAGTTTTTATTTTTATAGCTGAGGTATATTCATTGTATTCTTTACATTTATTTACTTTGCTTATATATATTTGTATTGGTGGTCTGTTTGGTGTAGCTATATAAATAATTGGGAAATAATTTTCTTTACAGTTAGAATCAAGAATAGAAGAACTTAATAAAGAAGTTAAAGCTTCCAAAGACAAACTAGTAGCTCAAGACATTGCAGCTAAAAATGCAGTTCAGCAATTACACAAAGAGATGGCCCAACGGTTGGAACAGGTATTTCTCACATCGTTGTCATTATTAACCTGGTACTCTGGTGACTCTTGTTTGTTAAAATAAGCTAACACTGTTAGACTATTTTGGACTTCACTATTGTATTAATAATAGGTAATTCTTTTATGTCAAAATAGACCATTAGGCTGAGTGTGGTGGCTCACACCTTTAATCCCAGCACTTTGGGAGGCCAGGGCGGGTGGATTGCCTCAGATCAGGAGTTCAAGACCAGCCTGGCTAACATGGTGAAACCCCATCTCTACTAAAAGTACAAAAAATAGCCAGATGTGATGGCACATGCCTGTAGTTCCAGCTACTTGGGAGACTGAGGCAGGAGAATCACTTGAACCTGGGAGGCAAAGGTTGCAGTGAGCCAAGATCACACCACTGCACTCCAGCAGCCTGGGAGACAGAGGAAGACTCTGTCTCAAAAAAAAAAAAAAAAAAAAAAAGCCATTTAAGTACATACAGATGAATAAATTAAGAAAGTGTATGGAATAAAAATTGAAATTTCTTTTTAATCTGCATGTCTTCTTCCCCTGCCTACAATCCTTTTATGTCCCATTTCTTGTTCCATAGCTAAATTATTGGTATTTTGGTTATGTGTATTACATATACATGTACAAGTGCACACATGCTTATGCATACATGGTCATATTTTTCCCCCCACTTGATTGGAATATTACTATACACCTTTTCTGTGACCTTTTTTCCCCTACTTATTATATCTTGGTAATCTTTTGAGTTGGAATAGATGAACTCAGAAGAGGTCATTTTAAGCAGCGCTTTATTATTACTTGCCTGAACTCTTTAAAGAAGAGGTCTTCGTCATCTTCATTTCTATATGCACAAAACCTAGCACAGTATGTAACCATTAGTCCTCACAATGAATTGAATCTGAAAAGGTTAACTCACTGCTTACATTATTTGAATGTGTTGAATCCCACCCTTTCTACCCTGAAGCTACTGTAGATGGCATTCTGGAAGGACTTTTAGGAAACATATTATCCTCAGCCTTTATTTGGATGATTCTTTAAAACATGCTGACCCCTTGCATTAGAAATGTTATGTTTAAATCTCCTGTCAGTTCTGAACCTTTGTATACTAATAAGGGAAACAGAGAGCCTACAAACTTAAGAAGTAACTGGTTTTAGTGGGCTCTAACATAGCCAGCCAATGATTAGAATCAACTAGTGAGCTTTTCTTTCTTTCTTTTTTAAAAACCCTCTCTGAAGCTTAATTTTATTTATTATTATTATTATTTTTTTTTTAGACAGAGTCTCACTCCGTCACCAGGCGCCAGGCTGGAGTGCAGTGGCATGACCTCTGCTCACTGCAACCTCCGCCTTCTGGCTTCAAGCAATTCTCCTGCTTCAAGCCTCCCGAGTAGCTGGGACTACAGGCATGCACCACCATGCCCAGCTAATTTTTTTTGTATTTTTAGTGGAGACGGGGTTTCACAATGGTGGCCAGGATGGTCTCGATCTCTTGACCTCGTGATCCACCCGCCTCGGCCTCCCAAAGTGCTGGGATTACAAGTGTGAGCCACCGCGCCTGGCCAAAGCTTAATATTTAAAATAAAATAGTAGTTGATATACATGGTAACAATTCAAATATTTTAAAAATTCTTCTTCCAGACATTTTACCCCTTCCTAAAGGTAACTACTGATGCCAGTTTCCTGTGTATCCTTCCAAAAATGTTTGTTGCATAGATGCTTGTATATATTTCTTTTTTCCTCCCCTACCTTTTAAAAAACTCACTGCTGTGTATGTTTTCTCCTTAATGAACAGTGTAGATGATGCTAATGATAGTAGCTAATACACTGCGTTTTAGCCGTGTGCAAGGCCATGTTCAAAATACTTTATAAGTGTTAACTTGTTTGATCTTCACAATCCTAAAAAGTGGATATTATTAAAGTAGATTTTGGAAAACTGATCTATTTAATTATTAATAGACTTGCATCATTCTTTTTACCCCCTAACTTTTCCTCCAACTTTTTGAGAATTTTCAATCCTGTAGTAAAGATGAAAGATTAGTAAAATGAACACCTGTTTTTCACCTATTGTCGCAGTGAGTTTTGTTAAAAAAATAGATTCCTGGCCGGGCGCGGTGGCTCAAGCCTGTAATCCCAGCACTTTGGGAGGCCGAGGCGGGTGGATCATGAGGTCAAGAGATTGAGACCAAACTGGTCAAAATGGTGAAACCCTGTCTCTACTAAAGATACCAAAAAAAAAAAAAAATTAGCTGGGCATGGTGGCGCGTGCCTGTAATCCCAGCTACTCAGGAGGCTGAGGCAGGAGAATTGCCTGAACCCAGGAGGCGGAGGTTGCGGTGAGCCGAGATCGCGCCATTGCACTCCAGCCTGGGTAACAAAAGCAAAACTCCGTCTCAAAAAAAAAAAAAAATAGATTCCAATATGTGTTTACCCACGTTCATGTGTGCACACACACATTCATCCTCTATTTAATTTTCCAGATTGAGGTTTCTTCATTTCATAGACTAGATAGGTAGAATGAATTTGAACCCTACTTAGAAGAGGGTGTAGCTGTATTATAAATTCTCAGGGACTTGAATTTCCCCCACTCACATCTCCCATGGTCTGATATCAGTAAGTGTTACAGGGCGGTGAAGGTTTTAGCCCTAATGTACCATTCTGGATTTCTACTTTTGTCTTAGATTTTTTAGCCCTGCAAACTTCCCATACTTTCTTGTGAGCTCAACTATATATTAAAAGATATTTGTTATTTTTCATCTAAAATTTTTGGTGTATTGAATGAGGAGGGTTTATCTGCCATACTTCTAGAAGCTACACTTCATACATTTTATGTTAATTTTATCTGTTGAGTGCTTTGATTATTTTATTCATGTTTTATTTATCTTTATCCAAGTCAATGATAAGCATCTTACTTGTAGTGGGTAAATCCAAAGACTTTAATTGGCCTCTCTTCCTTTATCTGTGCCATAAATGGACTTTCTATAATAGTTTAAATAACAGCTTTTGTTTTGTCTTGTTTAATACTCCCAGTGATGCTGTGAGGTAGGTGCTGCCATTAGCTGGACCAGGATCCAGGAATGTGAACTTTTAACAGGCACGCCAGGTTATTTCTTTGCAGTTGATCTATGCTTGACCCCATGAGTAACAGAGCTGTTACCTGGTGCACCATTCCCTGCTATAATAAAGACCCTCTTAGTATTTTCCTTTTTTTTTTTTTTTTTTTTTTTTTTGAGACAGGGTCAGTCACCCAGGCTGGAGTACAGTGGCACAATCATGGCTCACTGCAGCCTCAACCTCCTGGGCTCAAGAGACCTCCCACCTTAGCCCTCCTGAATAGCTGGGACTACAGGGGCACACCACCATGGCCAGCTAATTTTTTTTTTTTTTTTTTTTTGTAGAGATGGGGTCTTGCCATGTTGTCCAGGCTAGTCTTGGACTCCTGGGCTCAAGCAGTCTTCTCACCTCAGCCTCCCAAAGTGCTGAGATTACAGGCATGAACCCTTGCACCCAGGCAAAACCCTCATAATATTTCTCCTTATCTCTTATAGTTGTCTTTTTTTTAATTATTATTTTCTGTCTCATCTCTCAACTTCAGTGAATCTCCCATGCTGCTGCACATGTTTAATCAGAGGTTTCTGATTTATAAATTCTTCTTTGGCTTTACGTTGACTACAGAATAAAACCTCAACTTATTACCATGACAGAAGTTCTTCTTCCTTTCAGGATCTAATCTGTACCTCTATCTGTTTTCATAACTACTTCTTTCCCTCTCCAGCCAACCCACCAAATTTAAGCCCTGTAAAATAACTTGATATCCCCAAATGTATCATGCTGTATTATACTTTTAGGTGTTTGCACATGATATTCACTCTATTTTTAATTCCTTTCCTTGATTCACCCCTTATATTCTATTGAATCCTGCTTAGCCTTCAATACCTATCTCAAGTATAGCATCTTTTACCCTTCCTGCCAACTCCTCCCAGGGAATGTAAGTATTTTTATGTTTTGAAGGACTTTGTACATTCATCCAACAGAATTTTTTATATTATATTCCAATGTTTGTTTTTATGTCTTTCTCACTAGGTAGTAAGCTCTTTCAGAGGCCACAAGTACTACTTTGTTTCCAATAGGTGATACATTATCTGAATATTAAATTATTATGAAATGAGACTTCTCTTACAGTTGATAGTGAACTATTGACTTTTTCTAATTACAGATATTCAGTTGACTAAAAATCGAATTCTCTTGGCCAATTCCAGCATGATTTTCTCAGTTCTTGTCTACAAGCACATCGTTACATCCTCAGGAACCTGTCATATCCCCAATTCCATGTCTTTCTTAATTTGAAAATTAGTAGACTATTTCAATAGAAACAAATCCCAATTGGGAGATTTTTAGAAGTACTTATATGTATATGTATAGTATTCTCAGTGTTGACTAGATGTGCTTATCAGTGGTGCCAGAGCTTTATGAAACATTTTTGTCGACCACTTTTCATCAGAGCAAAGAAGCTTTTCCTAACTTTATTTTGATAGTTACCTTCTTCAATTCAGTTGCATTTTCAGTGTTTATTTACCACTAAAAGATGTTGAAAATCCCTAAAGTGGATAGGCAAGGTGGCTCACGCCTGTAATCCCAGCACTTTGGGAGTCTGAGATGGGTGGATCACAAGGTCAGGAGTTCAAGACCAGCCTGATCAACATGGTGAAACCCTGTCTCTATTAAAAATACAAAAATTAGCTGGGTTTAGTGGCAGGCACCTGTAATCCCAGCTACTCGGGAGTCTGAGGCAGGAGAATCGCTTGAACCTGGGTGACAGAGCAAGACTCCATCTCAAAAAAAAAGAAAAGAAAAAAAGAAAATGCCTAAAGTTTGAAGTTCTGTCTTTTGTAAAATAAATATGTGCTTCAACATACTTGCAAACCATGAGTTTACTTCAAAGGACTATTTGTAGAAATTTTCATTCTGTGAAATTTCATGAGTAGGGAGTACTAGTTCATACAAATAGAAAACTTTAAATGAGTATATACTTTTCATACCGAATCCAATTAATATTTCTTATTAAGTGTAAAATGCTTCAGAAATCTTTTCATAAATAGGAAATTAAATGGTCATTTGTTAGCATATGGCTACTTAATTTTCAAAAGGGAGTTAAGATTTTAGAAATTTTCAGTTTTACAGTGAGGGTCCTGGCAGAAAACAGATGGCACACTTAAACTGGTTATGAAGCTAATTTAATAAAAAGAATCTTCGTCAAGGTGTGGACAAGATTTAGGGAGCCCAAAAAGGGAAGATGCAGAATTTCAGGGCTACTGGACAAGGAGCAGATAGTACACCCCAGAGGGTAGTTGTATAGAGAGGGCACCTGACAAGAGGAGTGACCATCAGCCAACCTGTGGGAACTCTGGAGGAGCCAGATCTCACTCTGCCTACATTCCCAAGCATCTTCCTACTGCCTTCTGTTGGCTGAACCCAACTGGAAGTCTGAGGGCAGGAGAACTTGTTGACAGGGTTCATGATGTCATGGTCCTGGGATACCAGGTAGGATAAAAAAAAAAGTGGGAAAGAGGATCTGGAGGAATTAAGTGGAAAATAGCAACCATATTAGCCAAAGTAAAAGGAACAGGAAAGGGCAAAAACAAGTGCTAGGGATATTGTACCATTTTTCTATAATTTTAAATTTTTTCTTTCATTTTAAAATTTCATGGCACAAGTCCTGGGAATGTTGCACAAAAACCAAAAACTGCATTGGTAGTATGAAACAAATACTATGTATTTAGGTACATTTCCATTTGAAAGAATATTTTTCATTAATGCTAAGTAATTTTTTTTTCAAGGCCAACAAGAAATGTGAAGAGGCACGCCAAGAAAAAGAAGCAATGGTAATGAAGTATGTAAGAGGCGAGAAGGAATCTTTAGACCTTCGAAAGGAAAAAGAGACACTTGAGAAAAAACTTAGAGATGCAAATAAGGAATTTGAGAAAAACACTAATAAAATTAAGCAGCTTTCTCAGGAGAAAGGACGGTTGCACCAGCTGTATGAAACTAAGGTATAACTTGTGCCATTTGAAATATGTTGACCTTATTTGAAATTTGTTCTCTTTGCTTCTCCGTATTTAATCAAATTATCATAATTTAACATGTTTAACATTTAAATGTAAAGTTGTTTTTATTAGTTTACCTTCTAAAACCATGAATGTTTTAGTAATTTCAGTATTTTATTACTTATCTGCAGAGAAAAGGTTTGCTAGGGAAAAGATGAAGTGTTGACACACATTGTTTATGAGATAACTTTTTCTTGACCTTTCTAAAAACTTTCTTTTAAAATCTGAATGTTGGAAAAATTTGTTTATGTCTCAAGGGAAGATTATATTTTGGTAAAATATGTATATAGTAGTGTCAAATATGAATAATTTTAGAGCCAGAAGTATAATTTGATATAATCTTAATGTAACACTCACTGTAAAATATAATTTTTATTTTTCTTACAGAAAAACATGTCTGTCTTAGATACTATCTAAGGAGATTTAGTTACTGAGCCAGCTATTCAGAACCTTCCCTGTTAACTAGCAGCCCCTCAATGGTCATATTTCCAGTGCATTATCATTTTTCAATGATAAATGTTATTTTTTATTCATTAGCTGTTTAGGGTTATTGTCATTGTTCTCAGGAATTCTGACAAAACCAATTTAGTTCGTATTTCATCTTAATGCCAGCCACTTAAGAATCATAAAGGTATGTTGTGTTGGCAACACAACCAGTTATTTAAAATGTAAATATTAATAATCTTTGTGTCTATTAATAGGATTTAGGATTTTACTACCCTCATCATTTGGACTTTAAATCAGTTTTATAGCCTGTGGGCCATAGTGTGCCAGCACTTGATTTTAGTGTTATTGCACTGATTACTTTGAGGGGGATATAAAAAATACACACATAATTAATTGATTCCATAAATGAAAATGTATGACCTAGTGATATTATTTTAGGAAGGTGAAACAACTAGACTCATCAGAGAAATAGACAAATTAAAAGAAGACATTAACTCTCACATCATCAAAGTAAAGTGGGCACAAAACAAATTAAAAGCTGAAATGGATTCACACAAGGTATGTACTGTAATACAATGGAATAATGATTAGAATGAGTTTAAGAGCAAATGCATTAACAGTTAACGAGGCCTGAAGCTTGGTTTAATAACCCCTGCAAGTTAGTTTGGACCTGAATATTTGGTGATTATGAAAAAGATATGTCCTTGCATGATTTACATATTAAATGGGGTGGGATGTTAAATTTTATTATTCCTGGTGTATAACACCCAAATCTGCCCTGTTCTTTAAGCATTTTTTGATGTGCAAAATTTACATAACATCGTGAGAAATTGGATGGGGGAGAATGTGTGAATTATCAAATTTGAATGTAATCTAGAAATTTTAAAAAATCAACGATGCTAAGATTTTATACTCAAAAATATAAATTCTTTTTTGTTTTTTTAATTTTTAAAATATATTCTTATTTAAATATAAAGATTTTAAGAATAAGTTGCCTTAACTTTTTTATAAATATAAGTCCACTGGTATTGTGCCTAGTAAATATAATTTTATTTAAAAGCTAATATAATAATTATAAAGGCTGATACCTGATGCCATAATTTTAAGCAGTAACTGAGCTGATTATATAGGTAATAAAAATCTGAAGATGTTAGAATGTGAAGTAAAAGAACAACTCTGACTTTTGACTTAAGAAGAGCAAGCTTATGGAAATACCAATTTCCAGGTTTTCACAAACAGGCATAATGATATTGGTTAAAGTCATAATCGTGGATTACCTCATTAAATAATTGTAAATCAGTAGAACTGTTAATAACCTTTGTTTATGTAGTATTCTCTGATATAGCATTATCAGAGAAAACTGTAGGAGGAATAGTCTCTGTTGACAGTGGTCAAAGGTAGATTAGAGATTAGAGATCAAGGCTTCTCCTTGAGTGTGACGCTGACCTACCATTCAGCATGTGTGTGAGGAAACTACCAATGCAGAGAAAGAACTGTCAGAAAGGAGGAGGGCGTCCAGGTTCAAGTGATTCTCCTGCCTCAGGCTCCCGACTAGCTAGGATTACAGGCACCCGCCACCACGCCTGGCTGTTTTTTTTTTTTCCATATTTATAGTAGAGATGGGTTTTCACCATGTTGGCCAGGGTGGTCTCGAACTCCTGACCTCAGGTGATCCACCTGCCTCAGCCTCCCAGAGTTTTGGGATTATAGGTGGGAGCCACCGTGCCCGGCAGACAGGTTGTGTTTTTATTCTGTGGCTTAAAGGGGATAGTGTCCTGGGATTCTCTGCTCCATCTGAGTAGACTGTCGTGGGATAAAGGAAGCTCTCAGGGCAAGGAGCTTCTTAAGTTAAATCGTGAGAAATTTAGGCGTGATCGGGGCCTTCACATGTGTGAGAAGCGGTTTCATTTTATTTCTCACTGTATTTTCCCCAACTTCTAGTTGATAAGAAAAAATTCTTGATGATTTTTCATATGTGCGGGCTAAGGTAGTAGTGTAAAATTTGAAGTCATCTTTAAACAAAATGACCCACCTAAGATCTTGCTCCTATTAAGTGGTGAAATCAACTGGAGGTGGTTCCTACAAGTTGTTGTTGGTTCCAGTTTTGTTTGTGTGTAAGTAGGTTTTGTGAATTAATTCATTTATATTTACTATGTCTTTTAAATTAGAACTTTTTTATTATGTATGTCCTTTTAGATTTTACCTGTAGTTCATACTTTGAAATAATCACCCAATATCTAATTTTAGCGTTGTCTAAATTTGAGCATCATCTAGGAGAATCTTAAACTTCATTATGAAACTATGAGTTATTAATACAATTTCCATTCAAATATTAATTTCAGAAGGAAACATAAATATTCTTAATAGGACTACTTCGAATTAATCTGCCTTTATGTTTGGGAGAAAAAAGCTGAGTAATTGCACGAAAGATGATGCGAGATAAATGTTGATCTTTTGGCCCCATTTGTTAATTGTATTTGCTATTTGAACATTGTCCAGTTCCATTGTTAGTTTTCTTCATCATTTATTGTATAGTCAATTTTTTGGGTGGGGGGATGGAGTCTCGCTCTATTGCTCAGGGTAGAGCGCAATGGTGCGATGTTGGCTCACTGCAACCTCTGCCTCCCAGGTTCAAGCAATTCTCCTACCTCAGCCTCCCGAATAGCTGGAATTACAGGCTCCTGCCAGCGTGCCCGGCTAATTTTTGTATTTTTTTTTTTTTTTTTAGTAGAGATGGGGTTTCACCATCTTGGCCAGACTGGTCTTGAACTCTTGACCTCATGATTCATCCACCTCGGCCTCCCAAAGTGCTGGGATTACAGGCGTGAGCCACCACACCTGGCTGTATAATCAATTTTTAAATCTCTATAATATGATACCTTTTCCTATCTTTTAAGTTATTGGTACCTAAAATTAGTGAATCCAGATTATATGGTCCTTATATTTGTACAACATTAAATTGAAGAAAGGTTTTGCTTTGCATTGTGGGGTACAGGTGGAAGTTGGAATCAGATTTTTTAGGATTCTGTCTCTTATTAGCTGAATAATGTGAGGATTAACTTCTGCCAACTCAGACTGTTTCCTAATCAGTCAAAAGGGAAACAAGTATTTCAGTCTCAAAATTGAATACTACACAAGTGTTAAATGATTAGAATAAAACTGTTCTTATGTCAAAAAAAAAAAAAAAAGAGATGTGCAACGGTCCCTGGAGCTCAACAGGGCTAAGCCATTTAAGTTTTCCCTTTACTTTGAGTTACAGAATGAGGAATTTAAATTCCAAATTTATAAAAACAGTAATGATTCCCAACTGCCTGAGTTGCTTCAAGATCAGAACATAATACTTGGTCATATCTGGTATCTGTGGTACTTTCCTCATCTTCATTTAGAGTGCTAACAGACAGTATTCCAAAACCTGTTAGAATACTAGAACTGTGAATTAAAAAAAAAAAAACTGTTACAGATCTGTTTAAGAGATTCTTAATGGCAGCTTTGAGCACCAATGAAACCAAATACTCTGTAAATAAGTTAGAGAAGTGATTTAAGGCTGACTTCTATAAGGTTACACGGTACAGATTGCTAGAAAATGAAAATAACAAGCATATTGACTTGGTATGTAGAAACTCACTAGTTCTTTTTAAGCAAAAGCATTTATTAACCAGCAAGCTTTGTGCATAACACTGTATTAGATAACTTGGAGGCTATCTACTTAGGAGACACAGTCATTAAACTTTCAGAGTGTCCAAGATGGGCTCCTGGTTACTTGTTTTATGTATTTTCCTACTGGATGTTGGGAAGAGTCTCTGGATAAAAGAATACAAGATTTAATAATCATGTGGTTAGTATAGGCTACCTCTTCAGATGTGGGCAAGAGACATGAGACACTTAGTAAGTTTTTCTTGAGGCACCCTTCCTTTCTAGTTTCTGCTTCTTGCCTACTAAGTCTTAGGTACTAATAATACTGTAGTCTTGTAGGTTACTGGATCCATTGTGATCAGTAGTTTCTGGTCAGATCCCCAGGGCATATTACCAGAACTTAAGAGTAGGTGGACTGGCTACCCAGATCATCACACTACACAAAAGAAACAACTTGTTTGTTTCCTTCCCTAAACTTTTGTGATTTAACTGAAAATGCGTTTTTAACACCTAGCCTCTAAAAACAGAAGCCTTTTATTTTGAGTACAGTGAATAAAGATGAGTTTCTCCCAGTGTACCTCATCTACTTGTTTACCTACCTGGTTGCTACTTATTCACCTACCTGATAATCAGGATAAGATCATCTCACTTGAACATACATACGGCTGGCAATAGATGTGGCTGTTGTTCTTTGGCTCCCATGATTTGGCTATGCTGAGTGCTTGCCAGACATTGCTTCAGAGAAAGCTAGAAGAATAGTCTTGGATATCAACGCAGTAGCTAGACCACAGGAGGCTGTCAATGATAATATGTTACAGGCCTAATATGTGACCGGGGCTTGGTATATTTTATGATATGTTCTCTACACTAGCTTACCCGAAGCAAGACTGTTACTTAATAAGCTGTTTTCCCAAGGCTGCCATGTTGTCAGTGATAGCGTCATTCTTAAATGGTTTGTTACTCAGAAGGCCCACTTATTAGAAGCTAGAGCACAGGTATCTTATTTGCTTTGTCATTTTATCTGACTTAGTAAAACTATATTCTATGCCGTTCTATAACTATACTGTCCTATAACTACATTCTGTTGACTATATTGCATTATAGAATAACAAGGTCCAGATTTACCTTTCTACCTTAAAAACAAAAGAGAAAGAATATGAAATGAAGCCTTTCAGACTTGAGATAACAGGCAGCATAGGACAGAGATCTCTGAGTAAAGGGGAAAAAATGAGGTATTCCTGGACAGTTCCAGGCTGCAGAACAAGAAGAACCTAAAACAGCCCAGCAGCCTACCTGAATTGAGGAGATAGTTTAAAATACGGGAAACCAAGCCACAGTCCCAGAAAAGAGAAAAATACAACAGTCTGCAGTGAGTTCCCTTTAGGTCTTCAGCTGACTACTGATCAGTACATATGTGCTTGCTTGTGTGTGTGTGTTAAGAGAGGAAACTGCAGAGGAGGGGAAAGGAATAGGGGCAGAAAGCCGTAGAGCTCCCACAAGGCTAGAAAATTATTTGTGTTTCCACCAGCCAAAGATAAATGACCTCTCAACACACATCAGGCAGGGCTGCATCAGGCAGCCCTCAGAAGGTTATTGCTTTATTGTGACCATGAATTTGCCTTTAAGTCTGTTGTGGATCTGCCTTACAGAACTTTAAAAGCAAGCTTCAAATAAATTGTTTCAAGTAAATTTACTGTGTCCCAAAACAAAGTCCCAAAATATTTAAATAACTACAGAAAAACTAGCATCCAAGAGCATAAAATTTACTCTGTTTGGCATCCAATCAAAAATTACCAGGCATGCAAAGAGGCAGGAAAATGGAACCCATAATGAGAAGAAAGGAAAACTAGATCATTAGGAACAGATCCACGCATGGTTTCTCACATCTGTAATTCTAGCACTTGGGAGGCTGAGGTAGGATTACTTGAGGCTGGTTGTTTTGAGACCAGTCTGGGCAATATAGTGAGGTCGTCATCTCTACAAAAAGAACTTTAAAAATTAGCCAAGTGGGTGGCTCACGCCTGTAATCCCAGTACTTTGGGAAGCCGAGGTGGGTGGATCACGAAGTCAAGAGATCGAGACCATCCTGGTCAACATGGTGAAACCCTGTCTCTACTGAAAATACAAAAAATTAGCTGGGCATGGTGGCGCATGCCTGTAATCCTAGCTACTCAGGAGGCTGAGGCAGGACAATTGCCTGAACCCAGGAGGCGAAGGTTGCGGTGAGCCTAGATAGCGCCATTGCACTCCAGCCTGGGTAACAAGAGCGAAACTCCGTCTCAAAAGAAAAAAAAAAAAAAATTAGCCAAGTGTGGTAGTATATACCTGTAATCCTAGCCACTTGGGAGGTTGAGATGAGAGGATCACTTGAGTCCAGGAGTTGAAGTTATGATCGTGCCACTGCACTCCAGCCTGGGCAGCATAGCAAGATACTGTCCTGTGTCTTAAAAGATTCAGAAATGACATAGATAGTAGAATTAGTAGACAATGAGACAATAATGTTAAAGCAGCTATTATAAATACATTCCATATGTTCAAGGAGATAGACAAAAGCTTGCATATGATAAGAAGAGACAGAGAAAAAAACCAGATTGACATAATGTCTGAGATGAAAAATACATTGGATGGAATTAACAGCAGATTAGAAACTGCGGAGGATAAGATTAGCATACTTGAAAACATAGCGGTAGAAAACTATATGCTAGTGACTTCCAGATTTATAACTTCCACCCAGAACTCCAGATTCATATATTTAACTGCTTACTTGACATCTGACATCTTGGATGACTTAAGGCATCTTAAACTTAACATGTCTAAAATTGAACTAACAATGTACCCTTTTCGGCCGGGCATGGTGGCTTACATCTGTTAATTCCAGCACTTCGGGAGGCTGAGGCAGGCAGATCACAAGGTCAGGACTTTAAGACCAGCCTGACCAACGTGGTGAAACTCCATCTCTACTAAAAATAGAAAAATTAGCTGAGTGTTGTGGCACGCGCCTGTAATCCCAGCTACTTAGGAGACTGAGGCGGGAGAATTGCTTGAACCTGGGAGGCGGAGGTTACGGTAAGTCGAGATGGTGGTTACAGTGAGCCGAGACGGTGCCATTGCATTATAGCCTGGGTGACAGAGCAAGACTCTGTCTCAAAAAAAAAAAAAAAAAAAAAAAAAAAAACACTCTTTCTTGCATTCGTTTTCTATCTCAATAAATGGCAGTCCGTCCACCTAATTGCTCAGGCCAAAAGCCTTGGATTTATCCTTAATTTCTCAGTTAGCATATCCAGTCTTTCAGGATATCTTCTTGCTCATGTCTCACCTATCACATTCTCAATGAGATTTTTCAAGCTATTCTGTCTAAACTTTCAACACCTTCCCCCAGACTTTCTCATGTCCTTGCTTTATTTTTATTCCTTAGCACTTGCCACTAATATATTTTACGTTGTTTTGTATTTTTTATCTCCATTACTAGAATATGAGCTTCATGAAGGTGAGATTATGCCGGTTTTCTTATACAACTATGCCTATGGAGCATGGACATGCCTGGTGCATAGATGCCTAGAGAATACTTGAATGAACGAATAAGTGAAACACGGTCAATACCTTAACCAAAGCATTTAATGTGATTCTCACTTTTCCCTTACTCATTTATTTAATAAACATTTCTTTGTCATTAGGAATCTCTTAATTGCTATTTTTTGAGTGAATGAAGTGCTTACTATGTGCCAGGCTCTTTTTAGTTACTGATAATATAGCAGTAGAAAAATGTATATAAAGTTCTTTCTCTCTCTGTCTCTCTTTCTCCTTCCCAGCCTCTCTTCCTGTCCATTGAGTCTAGTATTTTAAAAGTCAGTATTTTAAAAGCAATTTATTTTGGTTTCTTTTTTTTTTTGAGCTGGAGTTTAGCTCTGTCACCAAGGCTGGAGTGCAGTGCTGCAATCTTGGCTCACTGCAACCTCTGCCTCCTGGGTTCAAGCTATTCTCCTGCCTCTGCCTCCTGAGTAGCTGAGATTAAAGGCGTGTGCCACCACACCTGGCTAATTTTTGTATTTGTAGTAGAGATGGGGTTTTGCCATGTTGGCCGGGCTGGTCTTGAACTCATGACCTCAGGTGATCCGTCTGCCTTGGCCTCCCAAAGTGCTGGGATTACAGGTGTGAACTGCTGCACCTGGTCTATTGATGCAATGTAGATGGTTCAAGAGATACAGGGAAAGGCATTCCAAGTGGAGGAACAGCAGGAAAGAAAGGAGCAAAGGGTGGTGAGTATTGGGTATTTGGGGAGCCCAACCTAACTAGAGGTTTATATTAGATATTCCTTTATTAACTCAACAGATATTAATCAAACATTTAATATGTGACACATACTGAGTTAACTGCTGTTAAGGAGCTATATGCGCCGGGCGCAGTGGCTTACGCCTATAATCCCAGCACTTTGGGAGGTCGAGGTGGGCGGATCACAAGGTCAAGAGATTGAGACCATCCTGGTCAACGAGGTGAAACCCCGTCTCTACTAAAAATACAGAAATTAGCTGGGCATGGTGTGCATGCCTGTAGTCCCAGCCTCGGGAGGCTGAGGCAGGAGAATTGCTTGAACCCAGAAGGCAGAGGTTGCGGTGAGCCGAGATCGTGCCATTGCACTCCAGTCTGGGTAACAACAGCGAAACTCCGTCTCAAAAAAAAAAAGGAAAAGAAGCTATATGCTATATTAGGGGAATATATAAGCTATAGTATAATGTGTTGATCATTAGAATCCAGGGCACGCCTGAATTAAATCTATGGAAAAGCAGAGTAGTGGCATCTGCCTTTTTCTGAAAGGAAGCTGCTGAGAGGAGATGATACCTAAGTCTCATTTGAAATCCACATGATAACCGAAACCATGGATCAGTTTGCTGGGAGAGAATTATGAAGAAAGAGCTGCATGGCCAGTCTGTATCTTGGAAAATCACCACAGAAAGTAGAAGCCAGTCAGGGAACAATGAAGAGGGCAGAAAGAGAAGGAGAATATTGTCTTGTAATGGAAACAAAGGAGCGATATTCAGAGTCAGGGGTGGTCAGAACTGGAGCAAGTAAGTAAAGAATAAAAACAAGAAGTAATTGGATTTAATAAGGGTAGTCCCTGAAAACTTTCGGAGTTGCTGTCTTAGGAGAATGGTTAGGAACAGAAACCAGATTGCAGCATCAGTCTGTAAAAAGACAGTCTTAGTTTGGGAGGCTGAGGCAGGCAGATCACCTGAGGTCAGGAGTTGGAGACCAGCCTGGCCAACATGACGAAACCCCATCTGTACTAAAACTACAAAAATTAGCTGGATGTGGTGGCGCACACCTGTAATTCCAGCTACTCAAGAGGTTGAGAGTCAGGAGAATTGCTTGAACCCAGGAGGCGGAGGTTGCAATGAGCCAAGATCGCACCACTGTACTCCAGCCTGGGTGACATAATGAGACTCCATCTCAAAAAAAAGGCAGTTTTAAATAGATGCTTTCTTTAAAAAGAATTGTCTTTTCTGTGTGTGTACAAAGAACTTTTTAACACTTTGTTCATCTTACCAGGTTACTAACGTCTAGTAATATACCAAAAACTGTCAAATATAACTGTACTTAATGGCTATTAGATAACTCTACAGATCATTTTAATTTTTTGTGAGAAACATAAAATACTATTGGTAGAATAATAATCAGCCCCTCAGTGACAGTGCTAGAATGAGAATTTTCCTACTTGCTGATCACTTCTTACCATTCATCACATCACTGTGGCCGACTTTGTCTCTGTCTTTTGTCGATGCAGGAAACCAAAGATAAACTCAAAGAAACAACAACAAAGTTAACACAAGCAAAGGAAGAAGCAGATCAGATACGAAAAAACTGTCAGGATATGATAAAAACATATCAGGTACGCATAACTTCTAAAATAGATTAGTATCAAATGATACCAAATATCAGCTCGCTCTCTCTCTCTCTCTCTCTCTCTCTCTCTCTCTCTCTCTCTCTCTCTCTCTCTCTCCCTCCCTCTCTCCTTCTCGGTCTCTCTCTCTTTCTCTCTCTCTCCTTCTCTCTCTCTCCCCTTCTCTCCCTCTCCCCTTCTCTCCCTCTCCCCTTCTCTCCCTCTCCCCTTCTCTCCCTCTCTCCCTCTCTCCTTCTCTCTCTCTCTCTCTCACTTGCTCTCTCTCTCTCTTTTTTTTTTTCTTTTAGAGGAGTCCTGTTCAGTAGTACAGGCTGCACGGTCTTGGCTTACTGCAACCTCTGCTTTCCGGGTTCAAGTGATTCTTCTGCACCAGCCTCCCAAGTAGCTGGGATTACAGGCGCCTGCCACCACACATGGCTAATTTTTGTATTTTTAGTAGAGACGGGTTTCACTATGTTGGCCAGGCTGTTCTCGAACTCCTGACCTTGTGATTCGCCTGCCTTTGCCTCCCAAAGTGCTGGGATTCTGCGTGAGCCAGTTCTCTTGTTTCATTAAATTTCTATATGTGCAGTATTCTGCATCTGCATATAGAATGTACTTTGCTGCACAGGCCATTAAATAAAATGCAGGTTATTTCCAGCTTTAAAGTACCTGCAACTTAAATGGATTTTATAAGAGAAGTTTTCAAGCAAATAAAAACCCTAGAAAATGTCAGAAGAATGAAGAGTGCAAGGAAACATATAACTTAAAAAAATAAAAACTATTACATATTTTAAGTGTACTATTCTTGTTTATGCAAAATTGATGTATTTAAAGTCTTTCGATACAGTCTTCGATTTTGGATCCATTAACTGTGTGTTTCACAATGAGTAAAGCTAATTGCAGTGCCTTCTTTTCAAGGTATAAAGCTTTAACCCATTTGCTATTTAGAAAAAAAGTGCACCTTGTGCCAGCGCTCATTTAATTTTACATAAACACACTCTTTGAGGCTGAAACAAATCTTACTGATTTTCAGTGTGAAGATAAAATATAAAAACCATTTCTTAGAGTTATTCTAAAGAGAACTTTTCTCTTATCCTAATGTAACAGAAATGTATATGATGTTACATTAGGATTAGAGACAAGAGTATTCTCAGGGCAAATGGGAAATGGGTTAAAAATTGTCACACTTTTTTCTTTTTCTTTCCACTAGGAGTCAGAAGAAATTAAATCAAATGAGCTCGATGCAAAGCTTAGAGTCACAAAAGGAGAACTTGAAAAACAAATGCAAGAAAAATCTGACCAGCTAGAGGTGAGTAGTATTGCTCTTTATATATCTTAAGTTGCATAATAAATACAGAAAGAGAAATAGTGAGAACTTATTGCCATCTGCTTTTAAGGCCTTTTGGAAGGAGCAGGCAATAAATCTTAGATCTAATGTAGCACATTATGATTTGCTTTTTCTTTTAAACTTTTTTAAAGATGCATCATGCCAAAATAAAGGAACTAGAAGATCTGAAGAGAACATTTAAGGAGGGTATGGATGAGTTACGAACACTGAGAACAAAGGTAATTCAATCTTTAGTCATGAATCCAGAGGAAGGGTAAATATATACATATACACACACATATATATACATATATACATATATGTGAAGATGTATATATTTATATATGTGTATATATGTATATATATGTGTGTATATATGTATATATGTGTATATATGTATATGAATTTTTATATATGTGTATATAATATATGTGTATATACACATATATAATATATATATATATGTGTGTGTGTGTATATATTTTTTTTTAAGAGACGAGGTTTCACCATATTGGTCAGGCTGTTCTTGAGCTCGTGACCTCATGATCCGCCCGCCTCGGCCTCCCAAAGTGTTGGGATTACAGGCTTGAGCCACTGTGCCCAGCCTGTAAATATCTTAAATTTTTTATTTATTCTGATTTTTAAAGTGGTGGGGAAAGGATTAATATAGAAATGTGCCATAATAAAAGAACTCAGAGTAGAATAGCAATTTCCTAGCAACTTCTTTTGTTGAAAGGTAAATGTCTTCAATGTTAGTCCCTTTAAATTGTTTGCCAAACATTTCTATTTCACAGCACATTTGCTGTATCTATAACTTATCCTTGGGCCTCTCATCTAAAGACAGTCTTATCAACAAGTCAATTGGAAAGATAGTTGGACCTTAGAACTATGTCAGAAAATATTAGGAAGGCTCTGTTTTTCCTGGATATATTTAATAAATGGATACAGTTTTAATGTCCAATAATCTATTAAGTCCTCCTCAGTGTTTATAGCCTTTATTGTAAGATTAGTATCTATTCTAATATGAATATGAATGTGTAGTATTCATTTATTTAGAAATACTCCTTTAACCACCCTGAATCACTTAGTAATTTTACATTGTTTTTCATACACCTTATTTCTTCTTCATGCCAGTTTTTTGAGGTAGAGAAGATATATTCTTCTTTTTCAGATGAGGAGATGTTGATTCAGTAAAAAGTGAAATGACATGCTAAAACTCCCATAACTGAATCACAAGAAATCTGTGACCAAAACCTAAGGCTGTAAACTTTGCATTATATTGTCTTACATTAATGCTGCTTTAGAATTTTTACATTTTTAATATGTAACCACTATGTATATAAAGTAGTTTATAAGGAACAAGAAGACATGGTTTGTAACTTGGTTATGATCATTCGATAGGTGAAATGTCTAGAAGATGAACGGTTAAGAACAGAAGATGAATTATCAAAATACAAGGAAATTATTAATCGCCAAAAAGCTGAAATTCAGAATTTATTAGACAAAGTGAAAATTGTAGATCAGCTACAAGAGCAGCTTCAAAGGTAAAATGAATAACTTCTGTTCGTTTTAATAAACAAGCTTTTAAATTCTGTTTCAAGATTTTCAAATGCAATTATTGCATTAATCAAGAACAATTTTTACAGTTTTACTAGCTGAAATTTTAGAATTTTTTCTCTTAATTTGAACTTCTTTGAATTATCTTTGAGTTCCCATAATGGCTTCTAAAAATCAAAGTTTATATTCCTTAAACATTGGTAGTAGCAATTTATGACAGAATAGGTTTATTGAGCTTCTTATCCATTCCTTAGCTTCAAATTCTGTTACTTATGCACAGTGTTTACTTTTTTTTCTAAAAGGGAAATTTAGCTCTAGATCTTTGCATGTGTATAGCTTGAGGTCCAGAGCTGACATTATTCCTGGGTTCTTTCTAAAACCATTTAAGTAAACTTCACTTATGACATTACCTGACAGAACCTGGATTCAGTTTGAAGCCAGATTATCTTCTTTTGCATACCTTACTGATAAATAAGCTGCTGAGTGTTGCTAAATAAATGTTTACCGTCATCCATATTGATTCTGCTAATAAATTCATGGTCACTAACCTCAACTGGGAATATTAATGCACCTAATCTTGCCGTATGTCCTTGGTCAGAGGCTTCTCCACCATCTTTGTAGCATCTTAAACCCTACCACTTTCTTCACACTTCAGTTTTTCCTCTTACCTTTCTATGTACTCTTGGCAGGTGATTACTTCTTCACAGAAAAAAATGGGAGCTGTCAGGTGATGGTTCTCTCAACTTTTTGCCACCAGTCCCATGAACTGCCTGCATCTGCAGCCATGTTTTCTGCTGTTATCATGGAAGAAACAACCATGTTATTATGGAAGAAACTCCTCTCTGAATCAAATTAGTCTTTCTGCTGCTTCTATGGATTTCATCTCTTCTGCCTTCTTGGGTTCTGTCCTGATTATTCTTCTTTATTCTTTATCTCTTATTTCTCTACTCTCTTTTTCTTTCTACATTTAAACATAATTGTCTTTTAAAAATATCAAAACTCCTATGGCTTTTCCCTGCCAGCTGATATTTCTCCTTTCGTTTGCAGCCAAGCTTTATAGAATCTTTTGTATTCATTCTCCATTTCCTCACTTCCTATGTTCTTTACCTCTCCACTTCATTCTGACTTCTACCCAACATGTTATTAAAAATTACTAATGCCTCTCTGCATATGGTAGATACATCTCAGACCCACTCGTGCTTGAGTTTTTATTATCTTTTAACACTGTTGAATTCGTTTGTCTTTCTTGATATTTTTGTTCCTTTGGCTTCATTTCCATCATGTGCTGATGCTCCTCTCACCTTTTGGGCAACTCTCTCTCAGTCTCCTTGGCAGGTTTCTCTTTCCTTCATAAAGCCCTCTTGTTCTAATTTTATTGTAACTTTGGGTGATCCCAGCAATTTTTTATAGTATGCTGCAGGACTTTTGAATCATTATCTTTAGTCTTTTTCACTAAGCTCCAGGCACAAGTATCAAAGATACCTCAAACTTCGGCATGTCCAAAATCGGTTTCTCTGTCCTGCTCATACATATGCTTCTCACATGTTCCTAGAATGAATGATGAGTGCAGCAGCCATGTGACTGTCCAGCCCAGCAGGCTGGGGGCCATCTTTGGCTCTTCCTTCCTTCACCTCACACATCTAACCAGTCACAAAGTATGAGTGTTGCTAAGTCTATAACATGTCAAGTCCATTTACTTTTTACTTCCCTGCTGCTACTACCATAGTCCAAGCTATTAACAGTTCTCACCTGGAAAACTCCCACTGTTTATAAACTTTTTTTCTGCTTGTATCCTCTCTATTTTCCAAACTACGGTTAGCAGAATCCTTTTTAAAAAGGAAATCTCAAAACTGTTCATTGATTTCCCACTGCCTCAGAGATTGTCTAGTGAGTTCCAGTGCCTTAGCATGGCTTGTTAGATTAGTGACCTGTCCCTTGCTGCTTCTGTGTCTTCTCTTTTTTCACCCTTGTATTTCAGCTATAACTGTTTAACAGATGTTAATGGATTGTTTCCTACATGCCAAACTCTGTGTTAAGTGCTATGGATATAGTACAGTCCTTCTTTTCATCAATATTGAACATCTGTTAAGACCAACAAGAAGTTCTCTTATTCCCTTCCCAGCTTTTAGCACATACTGTTCCCTTTACCTGGAGCATATTTTATTCTCCAATAACTCCGCCTTTGCTTTTAGGTCAGGGATCAACAAACCATGGCTTACAAACCAAATCCAGCCCACCGCCTCTTTTTGTAAATGAAATTTTTTTGGAACACATCCACACTCATTCATGTAGTATCTATGGCAGTTTTTATTGTATATTGCAGAGTAGAACAATTGTAGCAAAATCATGTGACCCAGAAGCCAAGCTTATTCCCTATCTGATCTTTAAAGAAAAGATTGTTGACTCCTGCTTTAAGTATTGGTTATTGATGCTATATGAGCATCACTTACAACAGTTTAGGCAAACCCACTCTGTGCTTTTATCATCAGAAATGTCTTTTTACAGTCATATAGTTTCCCCCTTAACTAAAAGCTCTTTGAAAGCGGAGCCCATGTTGGTCTTGCTCACTTTTCTTTCTGGCTGTTAGTTCCTGGCATATATTAGGCATTTATAAATATTTGGATGAACAAATAGAAGTACCTTTATTAAGCATTTGACTAGATGAAAATTCCCCAGCCATTAATTTAATGTCTTTTAATGGTTTATTTTTTTTTCCTAAATATAAACTTTGTTTTTTAGAGGTAAACAAGAAATTGAAAATTTGAAGGAAGAAGTGGAAAGTCTTAATTCTTTGATTAATGACCTACAAAAAGACATTGAAGGCAGTAGGAGAAGAGAATCTGAACTACTACTGTTTACAGAAAGGCTCAGTAGTAAGAATGCACAGCTTCAGTCTGAATCTAATTCTTTGCAGTCACAATTTGATAAACTTTCCTGTAGTGAAAGTCAATTACAAAGCCAGTGTGAACAAATGAAACAGACAAATATTAATTTGGTAAGTATAAATTTACATTTCTTTAAAACAACATAACAGGAAACACAAATTTCCCTAACAGTATAAAAGTAGTGGTAGTTGAACTAAGCTCTTTTCTGGGTACCGACTTTCTGATGGTTTCCACTGCTATAAGAAATCTAAGTTTTTTTCGGAGACCGAGGTGGGTAGATCACACGAGCTCAGGAGTATGAGACCAGCCTGGCTGACATAGTGAAACCCCATCTCTACTAAAAAATACAAAAATTAGCCTGGCATGGTGGTGGGCGCCCATCATCCTAGCTACTCAGGAGGCTGAGGCACAAGAATTGCTTGAACCTGGGAGGCAGAGGTTGCAGTGAGTTGAGATCAGGCCACTGCACTCCAGCGTGGGTGACAGAGTAAGACTTTGTCTTAGAAAAAAAAAAGAAATGTCAGTTTTTCCTCAACTGTTACAATTTGTAATAAAATTTCTTCCTAAAATGATTATGAAGAATATTTAATATTTTACTTTTGAAAATGAGAAAACTGGTTTGTGTCTCATTGTAACTAGAATTATTATATATTTTTAAAAGGTACTTTAAATTTATGTTCTTATAATTTATGAGAGTGTCTTTAAGTTACTTATAAAAATGATTTGACACTTTAGTCCAAAAATTCAGCAACCTGTATCACATGTTGTTTGGTATGTACAGAATGACATGCTCATTAATGTATGCCCCTGCCTTGCTATATGAGGAAAGTAAACAAAAGCTGGCAAGGAATAATAATAATAGAATCTCCACTATCAAGAACCTTAGATTTTTAAGATTATAAACTGTGAGCATTAATGGAAACAAACATACTCAAATTGGTGGTTTTTGTTTTGCCTATTATTCAGGAAAGTAGGTTGTTTAAAGAGGAAGAACTGCGAAAAGAGGAAGTGCAAACTCTGCAAGCTGAACTCACTTATAGACAAACAGAAGTGAAAGCATTGAGTACCCAGGTAGAAGAATTAAAAGATGAGTTAGTAACTCAAAGACGTAAACATGCCTCTAGTATCAAGGATCTTACCAAACAACTTCAGCAAGGTATAAAATGCTTCCACACTTAGACCGTGAATGTGTTTGTTTCTTTTGATCATTAAGGATTTTATAGGAAAAAAATCTATTTTATGGTTCTTCCACATTGATTGAAGCTGTGTGTTCTCTTTATTAGTATTAGTAAATCAAATTGCTGAACTTCTTGAATTGCATGAATAGTCTTTTATACTAAAAATATCTTGTATGCTAAAGGACATTTATTCACTGAATCACAAAACATGAGAATTGGGAAAGTAATGTTAGGGCGTTAGTATGTAAACTTTTGATCACATACTCCTGTCAGTAAAAAGTGCTTAGGCATTTGTTCTCCAATGTACATATGTTTGTTTATAAATTAAACATATGTTACTCTTTTATATATATTAGCAAACATGAACAATAGAAATTTTAGAACATCTATCTTTGAATATGAATATACGCAGCAGTTCTGATGTCTTCTCTTTTCACATGTCTGTGATTTCTTTTGTGCTGCATCTAGGCTACTGGCATCTAGGATGCAGATACTCCAGATGCATCCTCTGACTTGGAAATTGTTGTGACTTAACTCTTCATCCGGGTCTCAGGAAACAGACCCCAAAAAGTTATAAATTACCCAAACACAACAATTGACTATTAGAACTAGATCCCAGATTTCTTTCATTTAAAAATTCATACAATCGTTGGGTGTCTGTGCTATATGCTTGGGATACAAAAATAAATAAGACATGTATTCCAACCTCCTATTCTCTCCTATTTCCCATTGCTTTCTTTGTGTTAAAATAGAGTGAAATATAGTAATAAACTAAAAGGGACTTAGCATTTACTTAATAGGAATATATTCAGATATTTGCCATATAAGTATAGATGTAATTAAAGGGGAATTTGGAGGAAATTTCTGGTCCTGTTAGGATCTTCTAAATCTTTCAATACTTTAAAAAGTTAACTCCACTGTAATTAAGTGATGCCAGTATCAGTTATAATGTTGTTTCTATATATTTTGTACTTGACTTGTACATTTTCAAATGATATTTTATATGAATGACACAGCCCTCTGCCTAAAATATGTATTCAACAGCTTTCTCTTGTCTATGCCATTTTGCCTCAGTGATTTTAGCATTTAAAGTCAGAGATAGTGGGAGCAAATGGTCCTGATCATTCTGAGGAATAATCCACTTCTTTTTCCTACAGCACGAAGAAAGTTAGATCAGGTTGAGAATGGAAGCTATGATAAAGAAGTCAGCAGCATGGGAAGTCGTTCCAGTTCATCAGGTAAAAAACTAGTGGCATTTCCCTCCTCCACTCCCTCCTCCTCCCCTCCCTCCAAAAAAAAAACTAGTGGCTCTAGTTGTTATTTCATGATTGATATAAAAATAAGTAGTGTTTTTGGCTGGGCTCGGTGGCTCACGCCTGTAATCCCAGCACTTTGGGAGGCCGAGATGAGTGGATCACCGGAGGTCAGAAGTTGGAGCCTGGCCAATGTGGAGAAACCCCATCTCTATTAAAAATACAAAAATTAGCTGGGTGTGGTGGCTCACACCTGTAATCCTAGCTACTCAGGAGGCTGAGGCAGGAGAATTGCCTGAACCCAGGAGGTGGAGGTTGCGGTGAGCCGAGATCGCGCCATTGCACTCCAACCTCTGTAACGAGTGAAACTCCGCCTCAAAAAAAAAAAAAAAAACCTAATCTTTGTAGGGTAAAGAGGATCAGATTCTTCTCATTTATATTGGTAAAAGCAATACCCAACACTACATAATGCTTACTATATGCCTTTTTCTAAGCACGTCACATATATTCATTTAAATGAGGATAACAATCTTGTGAGGTAAATAATGTCATTATTGCCATTTTAAGATGCATAACCAAGGCACAGAAAATTAAATACCTTGTCCAAAGTCATACAGCCAATAAGTGGAGTAGTATTTGAACCTAGGCAGGCTGGCCTCAGAGCTAAACCCACTATATTGTAACCTCTCTTTTTCTGTCTCCTCTCATACTTCTGTTCCTCTCCTCCCTTCCTCCTCCTCTCTGCTTTGTTCTATTCTCTTATAGTTTAATTTTGGTTTAACTTTAGATTTGTTATTCTTTTTGAGATCCTTGTTTCTCTGTTACCACTTCCTGAGAAATACAGTATACACCTGTTGGTACCTCTGTCACCAGTATATTCAGAAAGAAGAACCTAGGCTAGGTATGACCTGTGTTGTCTTCTGTGTCCAACTCTGTTAGAGTGAATATTTGAAAATGATGCTGGAATAAATAATAGATGAGAGATGATGTTAGATTAAGCACAGTGTCTAAACTGATTTTTTTGTCCTCAGGGTCCCTGAATGCTCGAAGCAGTGCAGAAGATCGATCTCCAGAGAATACTGGGTCCTCAGTAGCTGTGGATAACTTTCCACAAGTAGATAAGGCCATGTTGATTGAGAGGATAGTTAGGCTGCAAAAAGCACATGCCCGGAAAAATGAAAAGATAGAATTTATGGAGGACCACATCAAACAACTGGTGGAAGAAATTAGGAAAAAAACAAAGTATGTATTATTATGGTGGCATCATCTTCAGAATACCGTTACTCATATGGCAAAGTTACTGTTTTCAGAATTAGTCATATCAAGAGCCTATCTTTAAAAAAATAATTGTAGTTACTCAATTCCCAGTCTTTTATGATCACCTATTATGTTCTAGGTTTTGGGAATACTAAGATGAAACAAAACACAAGTCTTTAAGGAAAGGTGATAGAGAGTTCAGTCGATGTTAATATTTTTAAGATAATTTAAACAACTTTAGATTTTAAAAAGATAATGCTTTACTTAGCTTTTTATTTTTATGTCTGTGGTTCTAAGAGAAATAATGGAGTTGTGCATTTTTTTTCCTGTTGGATAGGGCATAGTGGGATAATTTATCGAGTACCTAGTAGTACAAGGCACTGTGCCTGTGGCTTAGCAATATCTCATTGATTTTTTACAGCCACTCTGTGAGTGAGTTCTCTCATTTTGCAGATAACTGAGGCTCAGGTCAAATCACTAAATGTTTCAGGGTTACCATTCATCCCGAGTGGCAGACCTAGAGCTAGAGATCCAAACTCTGGGGAATATGCTGTGCCGCATTCCTCTCACAAATACTGTGTTTATGTAAATAAAAGTGTTTTTATATTGTAGGCCTTTTCAATAACGTTTTAATGTTTATTTTGAAATAACTTTAGACTTATAGGAAAGTTTGTCTGTGACTATTAAAAGAAAGAGCATAAAATACAGCAAGTTCTAAGTCTAATAATAGAAAACAGAAAATATTAACAGAAATTGGAGCAATAAAGAAATTGCTCAGCCAGGTATGGTGGCTTACACCTATATTCCCAGCACTTTGGGAGGCCAAGGCAGGAGGATTGCTTGAGGCCAGGAGGTCAACCAGCCTAAGCAACATAGCAAGACCCCATTTCAAAAAAAAAAAAATTATTCAGGCATGGTGGTACACATCTGTGGTTCTAGCTGCTCGGAAAGCTGAGGCAGGAGGTTTGATTGAGCCCATGCAGTGGAGGCTGCAGTGAGCTATGTTTGTGCCACTGCACTCCAGCCTGGGTGACAGAAGGAGACCTTGTCTCTTTAAAAACAAAAACAAAAAAGCTCAAATTTTGATTAATAAGGAGAGAGATAGAAAAGCAATGTTTATATGTCTTTACTCTCTGAATGCTACAATAAAACAAAAATGAGGTAGGTTAAGAAACCATATTAGAAAAGGATAATTCTTTCCTAATATAGTTAGGTTATTAACCTAATACTTATTTTATGCTTGTCTTCATGATTAGTTGACTTTTGCAAATTCCATTGTTTTTAATTCTACAAGTACACAACTGATACTATTGTTTTTTTTTGCAGAATAATCCAAAGTTATATTTTACGGGAAGAATCAGGCACACTTTCTTCAGAGGCATCTGATTTTAACAAAGTTCATTTAAGTAGACGGGGTGGCATCATGGCTTCTTTATATACATCCCATCCAGCTGACAGTGGATTAACATTGGAACTCTCTTTGGAGATCAACCGAAAATTACAGGCTGTTTTGGAGGATACATTACTAAAAAATATTACTTTGAAGGTATTTGTATTTCTCATTCATTTACCAACCAGTAAACATGGCAAAATAGTGTCTGATCTAGCAATTAGATGGGCTGTTTCTGTAATGCAAGGCGGTCATTTTACCCAGAGATGAAGTTTCATGATTTCCTCTTTTTGAAAAGTATAGTTTTTTATATTAGCGAGGAAAGATGAAAAATAGCAAAAATTAATCTTGCTATTTGATAGGACACTAAGATGAGTCATTACATTTGCATTGGATGGGCTTTGACATATAATTAGTTTTAATTTCTGAAATAATGTTTTAAGATTAGGGCATTTCTGATTTATTTTACAGCTTTTTTTTGGCAGTTATTATCTGGCCCAACTATTTTATTTTTGCAGTGGGTGGGCCTTGAAAATTAGTAATGAATTTAAAAATAATTTTTAAATCAATAATAGTAATCATTTTATTCATTAAAAATTGCTGTAGCTTCAGTAGAAAGTTTGAGTATTACTTTGAAATGGACAGGAGTACTTTACTGAAAACTGCTGTGTCCCCGGTTTATCTGACATAGCATTTAGGACTAACCATTCTTTCGATTTCAAAATTTAGGCAAAAAATAGTTCAGACTGAATTGTTTCATTTATTATACTTAGCCATTTTGTTTTCCTCTTTCTTTTCCCTCACCCCAATTATTAAAGGAAAATCTGCAAACACTTGGAACAGAAATAGAACGTCTTATTAAGCACCAGCATGAACTGGAACAGAGGACCCAAAAAACCTAATAGAAGCCTCTTGCTCAGTAAACAGACAAAAGTCACACCAGGAGTAGATGCCACTGACCACTATTGTTGGAAACTCTCTTCCACTTTATGTTTCAGCCAGTAAAAATTTGTTTTGCTTCATCTGTACACAAAAGTTTCCTTTTACAATATGAATGCATTGCTGTATATATTGTAAGACTGAAAGCTTTGATGAAATTTGTTTTTGTATGGTGCAATATAACAGCCTGTCATTGAATCTCAACAACTTTATTTACTTATATTCATATGAAGTGTTGAACATTACAAGGGCTTTTATAAAACCCTTTGTTCATATTTCTTCCCTTTAAAATATGATGTCAAAAATGACTCACCTTTTAAAAATTATGCATGAAAAGACAGGTGGTAAGCATTCAGTAATATGCTGTTTGTCCAACATCAAGACAACTAAAAAAAATGATAAAAAGTTTTGTTTTACATTCCAGCAAAACATTGAGTGAGTTTTAGGGATACATATGAAAACTTAAATCTTTTAATTTCAATTTTAATGAAAGCTGAACTTGATAGGAAAGCTAGCTGTTGGTAACTAGCAATGATCAAGCATTGTTTGCCTCTGTCAGGTTTTCTTATCTGTTTGGGGGATGTTTTTTCAGATTCTGGTTGTTTGAGTTAATGGGTGAATTTTTAAAGTTTTTAATTACTTAAAATATTATTTTAAATTATATATGAATTTAGAAAATTCCTGTGGCATTTACTTATATTTTAAATTGTGAAATGGATTCAGTCATTAGAGCAGAGAGATGAATAGTTCTTTGAAACTGAAATGCTTTAGTTTTACTGATACTGTGTAAAGATAGATATTTATGAAGAACCATTTTCTAAGAGAAACCAGCATATGGCACTATTAACTATTTCATTTGAGCACCATTCTTTGCTATTGATATATTACTTATGTATTATAATGGAGTGACCATATAGGTCCCCCAAATGTGATGTTTCAATATATTTATTTGAAACATAAAGTCGGCGAGATGCAATAGCTCACACCTGTAATGCCACCACTTTGGGAGACCAAGGCAGGAGGATCACTTGAGGCCAGGAATTTAAGAACAGCCTTGGCAACATAGCAAGACCCTCATCTCTACGAAGAAATTTTAAAAAGTTATCCAGGCTTGGTGGTACATGCTTGTAGTTCCAGCTACTTGGGAGGCTGAGGCGATAGGATCACTTGAGCCCAGGAGGTCAAGGCTACAGGTGAGCCATGATCATGCCACTGCACTCCAGCACGAGCAACAGAACAAGACCCTGTCTCTTAAAAGACCTCACACATACCTAAAATAAGTATATCTCTGTAACCAAAGGAACTTAATTTTAGATTCAATTTTTTCTATCTTGTTGAATTTTTTACAATATTTAAGAAATACACTTAAGTGTTGCCATAGTATCACTATTTCTATGTCATTGAATTTTTTCTCACCCCTTATTATTTCTCACTTATAATTTCTGAGTATGAGTTTTCATATTTTATTATTTTCAGATCATTAATAAGATACTTTGGCTCTTGTGCAGATATTGCAGCAAGCCTTGTTTGGTTTGGATTTTTGCTTTCCTTTTTCTCCCACTAAGGGAATTAAGTTTTGAGATGATGGATTAAAACCCTGTGAAGAATTGTATGGGCTCTAAAAGTTGGGCTCATGGTGGCAATATCCTTTTAATGTGTTTTAACATTTTTAAATCAACTTAGCATTGTTTAAAAAGATAATTTACTAAGGATTAGATTATTTAATGAATTTTTTTCCTATATATTGAGTTAGATGTTATCCCAAAACCAGTATCTTTTCACTTCAAAATGAAAATATATGTTCAAAGATATTTTATTTTTAGAATAGTTCTAAAAAGTATTAATCTTAATATGTCTTGTTTTTTACCAATAATAATTTATCAAAATAAGGGAAAGTGCAATCAGATCTGAATTATTTTACCACATTTCTAGACATACTACTTAACACTCCTGAAGACTACTTTGAGTAGGCAGTATAACTAAATTTTTCTGGTTTCTTATAATACAGGTTCATAAACTAAAATTTTTTTTTTCCCCCCAAGGCACAAAATGTATAATGGAGACCAAATTGTGATCAGATCCATAGTGTCATATGCCTGTACACTTTAAAATATATATACAGTTTAAACAAAAATGCACATTCCAGTATTAATATTTGTGCTACCATCTACAAACAATATTTTGACTTTATTACCTTTTTCCCTTTAAAGGTTAGAAACTTTTTTTGAAGAAAATGCTTTAGTTTCCTTTTGTTCTTCAGTGTCTACTGTGTGCTTTTGAATATGGATCAGGACTGAGCAAAGTAATCTACATAGATCAGAGATAACCTATCTCTGTACTGATTCACAGACAGCTCCTGATGTAAGGATTTAGAGGGCCTTCTCCCATCTGAATGAACATATGGTGAGAAGAATGGGGTGTCGGAAAAGGAAAATGATCTGGATAAATCTGAGACCTGGCGGGGGGGAGGTTTGTTTTATTTGTTCATTATTAGTTATACATATCAAAGGCTGTTTTGGTTAGTTAGCAATATTTTGGTTTCTTTGAGATTTTTTCTGTGTATGTATATGTATACACGTCAGTAGTTTTAATTTTGAAGTGAATACTTGCCGTGATTTCATTTTCCCCTTACCACTTCAGATGTTAGCCTGTTCATTTTTAAGGATCTTAAAATGGTAGATTTGGGCAGAAGACTGAATTTGAACTTTCATGGTGGCTTTTTGTTTTTACATTCTATCTTCGTAACCATTTAAAGCGATGTAGCTTGAAATTCAGTTTTATCAGGCTACCAACATGTTATTTATTTATTTAATAAACACATTGATTGAAAACCTATACTATTGTATTGGCACCGTACAGGGTATTGCGTTTATACTAATGAGCAGACCAGACAGGGCATTTCCATCCTCATGGAGCTTATGGTCTAATGAAAATATCTGGGGCCAGGTGTGGTGGCTCACACCTATAATACCAGCACTTTGGGAGGCTGAGGTGGGAGGATTGCTTGAGCCCAGGAGTTTTGAGACCAGCCTGGGCAACATAGCAAAACCCCATGTCTACAAAAGATACAAAAAATTAGCCAGATGCAGTGGCACATACCTGTAGTCCCAGCTACCCAGGAGGCTGAATTGGGAGAATCATCTGAGCTTGGGAGGTTGAGGCTTGCAGTGAGCTATGACTGCCGCTATACTTCAGCTTGGGTAACAGAGCGAGACCATGTCTCAAAAAAAAAAAAAAGGAAAGGAAATAGCTGGAAGACAATCAGAGCAGGTCTTGGGCCTCTGTGGCTTCTCAGCCCTTTTAACTAGGCTGAGAAGAGGGTTTATCTACTTGTGCAAGTGGCCCAGAAATCTCACTCTTACATGAGGCTTTGGAAAATCCTTTCAAAGGTACGCTGAGAGCAAATTACTGTTTTCCTGGTCGTTCTGCACATTTCCTAACTTTTTGTCACAATTTGGTGTTTTATTTTTATTTTGAGACAGAGCCTCACTCTGTCACCAGGCACCAGGCTGGAGTGCAGTGGCACAATCTTGGCTCCCTACAACCTCCACCTCCTGGGTTCATGCAATTCCCCTGCCTCAGCCTCCTGAGTAGCTGGAACTACAAGGTGCGCGACACTACGCCCAGCTAATTTTTGTATTTTTTGGTAGAGACGGGGTTTCACCATATTGGCCAGGATGGTCTCAATCTCTTGACCTCGTCATCTGCCTGCCTCAGCCTCCCAAAGTGCTGGGATTACAGGCTTGAGCCGCCGCGCCCAGCCCCGATGTTTATTATTATTTAAGATAAAAGAAAAATCCAAAGACCATAAAATGGCATTCGATTTTTTTACCATTTTATTAAATTATTAATGCCTATTTGGTGCTCATAAAGATTAATCATGTCATGCATGTTTCCAAACTTTCTTTTGCGATATATTATTTTCTACAAATTGTTACATGCAAATTTAAACCAAGATAGTAAAAGAAAAAAAAAATAGAATCCTTAATAATGTAAATGTTATTATTCTGCTACCCAGGTGAAAATATTTTTATAAATCATACTGTCATTTTTGCTTTATGAATGTTGACTCCAGTAGCCTATTTTTTGATAACTTTTTTTTCAAAAGCAGGTTTTTTTGACACCAAAATTGTTCATTTTTAACTAACACCCGTTGGTGGCACTAGAAACCTGAACTTTTTCAAGGATGAAGAAAGAAATAATTGAAAAGGTAATCTAAATGTGGAGAATTTTCAGGAAAATAAATGAAAAATATAATTGTATATTAAAGGTGTATTTTTCTTCTGGAATGGAATTCTTTTTTAAAAATGCAAGTGGCTATCCATTTTGACTGCAATGATGAAACTTGTTTAACTTCCAGAGGATGTGTGTGTGTGTGTGTGTGTGTGTGTGTGTGTGTGTATTATACAGATAATCTTTAATTTGATTACATTGTTCATTTTGTAAATATATTTGTATAAAATGAAGCTTTTCAAGAGGATTCTATGTATATATTGTACTTATTAAATAGGTAATGCCTGTTTACCAACTTGTAGTTTAATGGCATCTTTAATTATTTGTTTACATACGCAATTTACTAAACAGACTGATTCTTAAGACTGTTGGCAAGGCTTATTCAAATAGCTTCAGTTTTCTTTTTTTAACTAGACTGGGAATTTTTGCTTTCTATAGTTGTCTTTATTTTATCGATATGAATGGAAGTCAGTGAACAATAAGCAGATTCAGTTGAATGCCAGGTTGTATTTTAAATTTTTGTTTAAAAAAGGCCAGCAAAACTTAGCCTTTGTATTCATCAGTTTTCACACTGCTATAAAGAACTGCCCCAGACTCGGTAATCTATAAAGGAAAGAGGTTTAATTAATCACAGTTCTGCATTGCTGGGGAGCCCTCAGGAAACTTACAATCATGGTGGAAGGGGAAGCAGGCATGTCATACATGGTGGCAGGCAAGAGAGAGAAGGGGGAGGAAGAACTTGCGGACACTTAAAAAAGCCATGCGATCTTGTGAGAACTTACCCACTACCATGAGAACAGCATGAGGGAAACCATCCCCATGATTCAGTCACCTCCCACCATGTCCCTCCCTCAACACATGAGGATTATGGGGATTGCAATTCAAGATAAGATTGGAGTGGGAACACAGAGCCAGACCATATCAGCCTTTTACAAAAGGCTTTGGGCCTATAGATACGTGAAAATTTCTTACTTGATAAGCCAGTGATGTATTCGGATTTTCCATGAAATTACAGAACTCACTTATGTAATCTGACTTCAGTAATAAAGAACCAAGTATGTTCAATAAGAAGATACTAAAATGGCATTAATTTAATAAAGTGAATATTTATGAAATACTTCACATCACAAGGCATTGGTTCCCATTGCTTAACAGTTCTGGTACACTTAAGATTATGCCACATAACTTAATGAGTACTCTGTTGTAAAGAATCTCCTGAAATCAAGATCTGTAAGTGTAAAATTAGTAAGGAAAGCTTTCCAACATACTTAACAGTCTGCTCTCAGTAGCTTGTGGATTTGTTTGCAAGAGAAAGGAAGATAAAGGGCTCAGAGGATAAATTGTTAGGTCCACATAGCAGGAGAATAGTAACTTGAACTCGAGGTGATAATTATGAACAGAGGCTTTTAGTGGCTTCTTTGTATTCAACTAACTGACCATTCATGTGGTCAGTATGACCTGAAGGCATGAGATTGGAAGGCCATTCTGATGAACTTACATCTAAGTCTGTTTTTTCTTAACAAAATCAGCTTATGTTAATGCAGAACGAGTACCTGCTCCATGAGGAGCAGCAACGCGAGAGTATTCCTGTGATTAACCAATGCTCATGCTAAGTTTTAATGATTGTCTGAGAACAGTGTAACCAGACATGATATTTCTGCCCCTGTAGAGATGCTCTGTTAATTATTAATTTCTAACTTAGATTTTTTTTAAAAGTACACTTAAAATTTGGCAATAGACAATAAAAAAGACTGCTTATGGAATACTGTTAATGTTAAACTTCACTTACAGGATGTTAAATGCTTAGAACTAACTTTTCCCCAGAAAAACATTAATGGAAACATAATTGCTTTTCAGACTTGATAGTTGCTGCTTCAAAAGGTGGATTCACACAAATACCAAATTAAAAAAAAAAAAAAAAAACTTTAGTACATCATGAACTGCACTTATTTCTGTAAGCATCCACATTTCAGCAATTAGTGGACCTGAACAGGAAGTGGAAAAACAAAGCAATTTGCTGGGAGGTCAAGCCCGCCAGTTTCAGGGGTCTGCTGTGCACACCAAGGTCTTAATCCCTGCTAAGGATCTTCAGAAGCAACCTCAACACCAAAACCAAAATATGCACTGGATCAAGGTTTTGTTCCAGCTGTCACATTCCAAACTAGACCCCAATGGATTGCAAGGATGACCAAATGACAGCCCTATTAAAAACTTCTTGAATTTTTTAAGAGCAAAATCATTACAGAAAAAAAAAAAAAATTCAGAGGGATCATGTCTGCTTATGAGTGTCTTCATGTGGCCTTTCTTCAAATTTTACCACCAAGAACTCTGAGAGCTAGCAGGTCTGAGTAACCTTGGTGACAATTCTCTTTATCAAAACCTGAGCTAAAAACAACACATTAGCTGATGATGACAGCAGAAAGTGGCAGGGCTGAGGACCCAACATTCATTTTCCAGCCTGGTGGAGAGCGAGTAAGTGCGGTTCCAAAACTAAACAAGGGAGGTCAGAGAAACTTTCCAGCCTTACCTAATGGCTTCTGGCCAAAGCAAGAAAGTGTCATGGAAAGTGTTCGGTGGTGATGGTCCAAAAGGAACTTGAGGAGAGAAGAAAAGGCAGCCCTCAGTAAAGCTGGGGAAAAGAAGATACGGAGAGAGCCCTAAATTCCTCATTGAAAGCCAATTTCAAAGGGAAGTGGAGGGGTTATAATCCATGCTTCAGTCAAAGGTAGGAGTGGAGGAGCATGGGGACAGGATGATGGCTTGGAAGGGTCATCATTTAAGACTTAAACCAGGGAGGCAGGCAAAGCACCCCACATACCCAGCAGCAGTCCCACCGGCTGCCACCTGAAACCTTCACATCTACTTCTGTTCAATAAGAAGATACTAAAATGGCATTAATTTAATCAAGTTAGTATGTATGATGGAACATTTCACATCACAAGGCATTGGTTCCCATTGCTCTAACAGTTCTGATACACTTAAAATTATGCCAAGTAACTTAATGAGTTAACTATGGGAAAGAATTGCCTGAAATCTGTAGAGTAAATGTAAAAGTAGTAAAGAAAGTTTTCCAACCTAATAGTCTGCTTTCAGTAGCCTGTGGGTTTGTTTGCAAGAGAAAGGAAGATTTAGGGTAGGAGAGTAACAAGTCCCCCGGGGTAGAGGGCTGTTGCAGGGAGGGTAGGAACTGAGTGAGCGGTAAGGAGAGAAGGCAGAGCCCCCAGGCCATGTAATCAACCGAAAGGTGATAGTGTGATGTGTCTTTTTCACAGTTAAATGTGCCCCACCAGTTACATGAAAATCAATTTAAATATACGTTCTTGATCCCAGAATTTCAACTATGTTGACAGTAGTTACACTTGACAGGATATTTTATTATAGCACAACTTACATATTTAAAATGGACAAAAAATTAGTATCATTTAGTATCTTAAGAGAAATTTCCTTTGAATGGGAGCTTCCTTTCTAGTTCTTTGAGGTCTACAAGACCTATCTACAAAATTTACTACTGTGGAAAATGAAGACTCCCTAAATTGAATTGTAGGGAAGGGAAAGGCCCATGGTTTTTCTTTTTGATTACACTGTAACACTGTCCTTCAGGAGGCCGAGAGAGTTTCATGTTTTCTTTAGATATTGTTGCGCGCTGAAGCTCTTGCAGGATGACTTCGATGCTTTATGAATTCTGCCATTTTACTAGCATTGACATGGATCTTGGGCCCACCACTCCATTGGAATTATTAACTACATGTTAATTATCATTACAAATCTTAGAAAGGGGGCACTTCTGTGTATTTAGGTCCACATTCTATTTTAAGCCTGGATATTTGGTTTTCATAAATTTTTCTTGGAGGTGCAGTCATTATCCCTGTCCATCCTGTAAGTGACATGTCTTTGTCATCTTCTAGACCCCAGCTAACTGTGCCATCTCCTCTTTTCTGGCCACCTTCAAGTTCTCCTAGCAGTCAGAAACTGCAAGGGACTTTTTTACTCCCAAGCCTATGGTGGCTGCCATCATCCATCACTGTTGCTCCCTAACTCACATTTAAGAGATTTCATTCTTATTTAAAAAAAAAAAAATTCAAGGTGAAGGGAAGCATATATTTAAGAAGTGTTTTGTTTCTGAAGAATTTCCAGCCTTTTTCCAACAGCCAGCCTTTTTGACAGACTACCTGTTCCCAACTGCACTCCATAAAAACAAATAGGGTGTTATATTCAAAAGAATCTCTACCATCTAACCCAGTCAAAAGTTCTGTTGAAAGTTCAAGATCCACTGAAATAACTAAGCTTGTCCATAGTTAACTTCTAGTTACAGTAACTCAGAAAATACATTAAATACTAGAGCGGCTGTCCACATCATCTGTTTAACTGTGTAGTTTTTTTTTGTTTTTAGCTACTAAAGGCCCAAGGATGTGGGGGGAGTGTTTTCAGCATCTTCCCACTTTGCTTGTCCCAAGAAACATCAGTTAAACTTGCCACACTACCTAAACTTCCTTAGTCTGGCCCTTTGGGATCTGACTAGGGAAGACACCCCCTAGTTCCCTAGCTTGCTGCCCTTGCTGTAGGTCTGCTGCTGTGGGGCTAACCACCTCTGGGAGAAACACTTTGTGTCTTGGTTCTTTCCCCATTTACAGCTCCTATCAATGCCATCTCTTCCAGAAACCAGGTCCCCAAGTGTCCATACCAAAGGAGTGGACTCCTTTGGGCTCTGAACTAGCTGTTCCTAGATTGTGTGTTTTGCTTTGTGTTAATTTGAGGTCAGGGTAGAGGAGATTGTGGGAGAGCCTGCTTCGACAAGCAGGCTGCAAAGGGTGTGTTTCTGGTGTCTCTAATTGGAATTCCAAAACTCTGTCTCATAGAAATAGTGAATACTCATAAATAGTGGACACTATCTAAAGTATATCTTAAGTACTCATAAATTTTCTCATAAATAGTGGATACTATCGTAAGAACTTGCCACAGTTTATGAATAACAAAGGATTTGTGTGCTTGCCTGAAAACACTTGTCACTGTTTTTCTTTGACATGATTAAATGCCTTCAAAGCTCTGAGGCACCAACTTTCAAAAACAAGTTGAAGCAGAAGTACCAGGTGCCTTCCAAGACATTGGATGATCCAGTCTCACAAAGGTGCCCTGAAGTTTAATGGTTAATATTAGTAACTTGTGCGTCAAAGTCCAAGATGTTGCTGATTATTTGTAAAGATCATACTCGACCCACAGGTACAGTACAGTTCCCATTTCAGCAACAACTTGATATAGAGCAGGAGAGAATGTTTTCTGTGCCCAGCCGACCCACAG